TTCTTTACCTTAAGTACCTCTGATGAGACCCCTATGAACGAGATGACCATATGGTACAGTAATTTAGTTGTAATTTGTTTGACTACCTGCGCCTACAAATTCAAAATCGGTACTTCCTTTCTTCCTGTGTATTTCTAATGATTTCACAAAAGTATTAAGACACGTGGAACTAAAACTAAAATAATGCATTTTAATAATGCGTATATTTATTATTACAATGCTTATGGTACAGGCGTTAACGTGACCTTGGCAAATAAATAAATAGATAAATAAACCCATCTTGCTTTAGTTGGTTAAATTCAGCTTTAGCATCATAATGACCAATACTTCATATCAGACGACTATACCAAGCTATACAGTCTGCTCTACAGACGTTATTGATCTTGGAACAGGGCCATTCTATTACAGGCCATATTACTGGACTTCACACAGCAGTACCGCATTGTTACCTTTTAAGACATGCACAATAAAGGTCTGGCATTCCCTTAGCGTGCAGTGTTTGAAAAAAGTTATCAAATAAAATAAAATGAGAACATTTATAAAACCTTAAGTTCGATTCCCTATTCATTAAACCCTATCATAGTAGTACGTACAATGGATTAAAACAGAAAAAAACTTGTGTGATTTGGGTGAATAAATCAAGATTAAATTTAAAAAAAATCTTTGCGACAACTTCAAAGAGTTTTCAAACTGTTATGGCAAAGCCATGCCCACAAGTGGCCGCAGAATTGTAAAATACTCATAAGAATTACCAAGGAAGTCCTTATTTTAAAATGCAGAAAGCACCTTGAAGGAAAGCACCTTGAAGGAATGCACATTATTGCAGCATATGGCTATTTATTCCTTTCAGGACCCCTCAGCGGTACTAAAGTTCAAAAGAATGAAATTCCTAGATCAAGGTAAACCTTTGACCTGACCACGTGTCTAGAGAATGGCCGGAATGGTGTTCATTGTCGGGATAAGAGATTACCAAGATTAGGGTGTATCACTTTAAGGAAAGTTCGAGATAAAGTGCTTATGCACATAAATTCATTTCATAAGAGGCTTTTCGGAAACCTATACACCTTTCTAACGACAGATATTGACAGTACGACAATGCCATTGGAACCGGCGGCCATTATACCCCGGCCCTAGCCTCGGACCTCTCTATGTCAATACAACCCTGATTAACTGACTCCGTACCTTAGACAACCGTGTGTAAATCTATTGTGAGGAAATAATGTAATATAGGTAGTAATTACACGTATTAGGGACAGTTTACATTTCACATTACAAATATACTTAACATGTTTATTTATCGGAGTTAATACCTACTATCAACATTTTCCGCCTGAACATACAAGTTGTTTTGACCGCCTTTTGTAACAAAGGCAATGATTGGTCGAAAGGTTGTAACAACCAACACTATTTGTCAGTTGACAAACAGGTATTTCAACAAGGTATATCAAAAACACTAAAGAGATTAAGGATCTAATCTAAAGTTTTGCACTTTGCATTTAAGACACTGAGATTAATACCATAGACTAGTAAAGCATGGTCACCTATACTTATTGTATTTTGAAATCAAACAAGCTCTCCCTACGATCCGTACGCTCTAAGAAGATATTTTGATTTCATTTGCTAACGGAAAATATTGATGAAGGGTCTTAACGTAAAATACCTCTGCCATGTTTCACAGGTCCATGTATGTTGTTTTTAGGAGTCGGTTCTACCCCCAGACGAGAGGATTAAGGTCCCGATAATTCCAAATTTAATTGAATTTTTACAGATTTAAGTTACTGCCTATTGTATGACGCATTTGGTTCAATTTAAGGGAAAGGAATATTTCCGAAGTTATTCATATAATACCTTACATTAACAGAGAAACTTATATGTATCCTTTCTTATGAACACAATATAACATAAATAGATAGTATCTAATGACAAATGAAACCCTTTAATGAACTAGGTGTATGCTTGTCATATTAACGTGATTATTTACTATGCTTCAGACGTCTTTCCATAAAATAACTGAAACAATCAAATCCAATTAAACCCAATTGAAATGAAAACAAACTACATCAGAATGATAATTTGGAATGTTAAGGTCAATACATTATTTTATTTATGTCTAATTAAATTCTTTTAAAAATGTATCTAATGCGTACTTGTTATTACATAAGTTTGTACTTTGATGCAGTTAATAGTCACTTTGTATGTGTTTTGAGCCAACTTCCTTAATAGGTGTTTCCTTACTTATCTTTAGCTGTTATTGTGATCGTAAACAATATGAATTAACTTGAATTTTATGATTTATTTACATTGATGTACTACCTTCTAATATAGTCTGGTTTTTCTTTCGATTTTTTTTTATACGTGCAGATGAGTTTTGTACGGTGGTATATTTAGGACATGCACAATATCATTTTCCACAATAATTATCACGAGTGGTTGACATAACTTCTCGAGCGCTCGATACAATATGTCGAGCGCTCGTGATAATAAGTCGAGCACTCGATAAGTTTTGTCGAGCACTCGAAATAATTAATGTAGAAAATAACACTGTGCATGTCCTAAACGTACCACCGTAGTTTTGAGAGTTTGGTGTATGGGCTTTTTTTTTTGTTAAAAAAAGATACGTTATTTGTTCAATATAGTCAAATTGGTTATTGCTTTGTGGATTCTTGCGATGCCAAAGAAAGATTTATTATCTAGGATTTAAAATGGCTGATAAACATAATATACTCCTCTTCCAAATATGTGTAAATATTAAGTCGCAAATACTGTAAATACATTATTTCTTTTCTTTTCTTTTTTTCCGCATAGATTCGTGTTTAACATATTTCACACATCAAATAGCGGAAGACATGTACGCATGAGTGAAACGCGAGTTAATGACATTTTCGCAAAATTATTTGTATTCGTAATATTAATAATATAAAGTAAGCGCAAAAATATGATTGAGAAACACAATAGATAAAGACGTTATGTAAAGAAAATAATTTACATATTCAGTTTGCTCTGAATACGTATCTCAGAAAGCATGTCTGTTGTACCAATAGAGTGTTTCTAATGTATCGAACGTGCTGTGAGCACGCGCCCACGTGCCGTCCGCCGTCACTGCTAATACCGTTACACACTGATTACTCTATCTCATCTCCATAACAGCTAATGAATACGGCAGTGGGCTATATTACGTAGCGGAGGGCCACCAGGAGTCAGAAGATTGTGTAATAACCACCTCACCGCCACAGCTAGCGAGAAGACACCGCGCATACTTAACTCCAATGATGATCGAATTAGAATACAAATAGAAGAATGGAACTCTCGCGGGAATTGAGACAATCACGAGTCTTTCACTAGAGAGCTAAATCTGCTCCTTAACGGTGTCCGTGTTTACACGAGTCTCGTTTCATGCGCGAGATCAAACACTCACGAGGATAAAGTCCGATACACTCAGCACATGCGCACTGTTAAACAGTTGATCAATTTCTGACTTTGTTCATTGAAGAATTCCAAATTTGATTTATGATATCATATTAATGTATTCTAATTTCTAACAAATGTTCGCTTACCCGGTATTTCCTAATCAGGGGAAGGCGCGTTCGATTCTCTCCCACCAGACTGTCCCTAACAAGTGAATGGCCCTCAAATCGGATTTCTTTGTCTCCCCATCACTGTTGGGTCTCTGTAATTGTTTTACCCGCGATTAGATCGGTGATAAGACGGTAACTGGACAGTTGGAGCTGTTGTAAGACGTCCATCACAATGATGAAGTTCGTCACCTTCCATACAATATAACATTCTTTGTCGTTTTCTACCCTTTTGGAAAAGGTCAAAAACCCTTAAGTCTTTAATTGTTTATCTATCCGATGAGTTAATAACATTTCAATAAGAAAATTGTTTGTTACAAAGTCATGAAAAAAATCACCCAATTAAAGAATAAGAGAGTAAAATAAATATTCGATCCAATATACTTATACAATGTTGTTATGACCATTGAACCAGTTACAAAGATAAAAATATTATGATGAAAATATTTTTTTCTTTCATCAAAGTGACCAATCACAGAGAAATAATTAAGTGTATTTTCTATGAAAATAACAAAATTGTTTGTGGGGTCAAATTGATATAACTTGACGTAAGGTTGTTTGACTCCGAACAAGTAATACTCATTAACAAAATGCTGCTAATGTTTGTAACTTCATCTTAAGCAGTTTTATCAAGAGTTAAAAGATTGCATTTTATACTGCAGAGAGTATCAACCAGCACAGAGTAAATAAAACACTTATAATCAAAATGATATACATACTCAATGGAAATAAGAACAAATAAAATGATATTATATTTAATAAAAATGACATTTAGGATAGAGTTGATAGTTTTTAGCATTTTTGGTGCTTACAATTTTTTTTTTACTTACCCCGTAATGGTGATATGGTCATTGACGTGATTCACAAACAAAACCCAAACAAACAAACAAATGTTTCCCTGTGACATACAACTATCATATACATACAATTAAACGTAATACATGTAAATAACGATACAAGTGTTCTATTTAACATGGAATGCTTTGCAGAAGGTACACACCAGTTTGCAATACAAATACAGTTTCTTAATGATAGAGTTAAATAAAACAATATCTAGTTTGTTAAAGGCTATTTCAATATATTATTTCAACTTACTTTAATCTGTTATTTTCAGAATGTTTTAATTTGTAATTAATAAAATCTTTTCATCGATATATTAGAAACCAAAAAATTGAAGTGTAACGTTGTGACATTGGCCCTTCAATACATGATTCGCGTGTAAGTGGCATAGTACATTTGTAGTTATTCTTTTGTAATACGGTTCTCTAGCAGATTATAAATGTTTAAAAATGATTATAAAATAAGTTAAATAGAAATTATAAAAGAAAATAATAAAATTCATTAAGACATTTTTCTGTAATATAATTGATAAAAAAGATTAAAAAAAATGTAAATTTCTTAATATCACCAATTTTTTTTTACCTAAAGGTATCGACCGAATATTGGGAGGCGGGACCGCATACTCTCATCCTCAGGTACGCCCACCTATGATAACAACTAAAGTATTGGAGGCTGCAGGACTTGATCTTCCAGAAGGTAGGTTTCACAGACAACAATTGATAATAATTTGTAGTGACTAATAGTTCATCATACACAACACAAAAGTCCTGTGTCATTAAATTCATTTGTTATATGAAATGATGTTGATAAACACATATCCTGACTATAAACATACTCACTTTGGCACACTCAAATTTTAGCGCGTAACCAAATTTTACCAGATAAGCGAATTGGTGAGTTTGCGCACCTTCAATGTAAACAATAGAAAACTGCATACAGAAACTGCAATCTTACATAATCACTGTAAATGTGAAAGTATTGATTAAAATGTACCTAGACACTGCTATAACCATTTTACATCTCATCACAACAGGGGTGGCCATTTTCCAGACGACATTTGCCGGTGGGATACATTACGGCGTGTTCTGTACCAAAACGATAATCTCCCGGGGGACTAAATTCGGACCCTTCAAGGGCAGGACCGTCAACATGAGTGAAATAAAGACAAACGACGACAATTCCTTTATGTGGGAGGTAGGTTCACAACTCTTCAACAACTTCTTTTATAATTCGTTTTCTTGCAAAATCAAAAAAAGAAGAATATTGTCTAACGATTTTTGCTGTATTTCTTGTTGCAATGTTTCATCGCTTATTTCCGTTCATAGAATTGAGATTTGTTTTCATATTGACAACTAATTCTCTAGTGTTCAGAAGTAAAGATTGTGTCTTTTCTTATAGTATATAAAAATGAAGCTTTCTTAAAATATTACAATCATGCGCTACATATATGGTTACTGTCATCCTTGCTCTCCATACTCTTATATTTCATAAAAGGCTACGGGAAAGGAATTATTCATCAGCTTAAGTGGTTTTTTCCTAACTAAGATGAATCTGAATTCATACCCAAAATCAACATATTAAGTTTTATGAAAATGTTAATACTGTTCGTACCAACGAAATTAGCATGTACAGAGACATCGGTTTACCAAATGTTCATTCTTAACTTTCCAACAGCTGTATCACAGAAACATACACAACGTTGTGAAGGATATATGCAAAATATACAGAGATAACGTAAATAGACCAAATGTGATGTTCCAAATGTTGATTTTTATAGTCTATGGAAACTGTGATTGACCAATGGTATTTATAACGATAAGATAATGAAAAAACAACAATGAAAAAAGAAAAACAAATATGATATTCAAGCAGAAGAATTTTGTTCTGCTTCTCTTTAAACGGTGGAATCAGACTTTCCTTTGATAATCCTCTCTGGCTATCCATACTCTTTTTATCCCGTTTATGTAAAGTGTGGTTTTTCCTATTTTCCCAATTTTCTGTTAATGAACTAATGTATTATACCTATGTAAAATTCCTTATTAATAAATGTTTAAACTTAAGAATATGGTGATACTGTATGTTACAGTCATGGTTAAGTTTATGGAGTTCATTTTTGTCGAATTGGGCTTATGATGGATTAAGCTTGAGTATAATGAGATGGCATATCCATTGCTCTCCCTAGTTTTGACCCCATACTGTAGTTAATATTAAGTTAGGTTGGAAATCACAACGATGCAGAACACGTTTTATTTTCTTGTTTATTTTTCTTTAATTTTTCTTTATTTTATTGTTTTCATTCGTGTCTTTTAAAATGTTTTCTTTTCTAATCATGCTATTCAAATCGACATTTATTAAGTTATTTATTAATCACACCGTAATCAGACTCACAACGCAGGATACGTTGTATCTAATGATATGAGGAGTATGGACTTCTATTGAATACGTCATATTGACCCGGGTAGGAAAACATATAAAGCGATATGAAAATATTACATTAAAATACGAAGCTTTGCTAAATAAAATGTCATAATTCCTGCCGAGATAATTTTGTTTCGCTAATTATGGATGCAAATCTTCTGATATTCATAATTTTACACGTAATGTACTTACATTCAAGTGGTAATTCATATCGTTTTGGGTATTTGTCATGCCCAACAACGTATCGTTTAATAAATTTCCCGAATATGTTTGCTGCACTTGTCTTTGCACCATATTCCCAGTTAGCGGGTAATTGTCAAACTCTACGCCTCACACGACCTAAAGATTTCTCAAGCGTATTTGAGTTTTAAAACCGGATAATTAAGAGGGTTGAAGACTAAAGTGAGGATACAAGAGCTGCGAAAGAGTGGTTTAGTTTGGTTTAGAATTCTAACCGTCACAAGGAGAAACAACCTTGAGATTTAAGTCAATAAATCATGTGTGAGTCTTCAGGTACACATTGAGAGAAATAATTTCTAGCCATGTCAAGGGTATCCGTTCATTATCTAGTGATGGTCGTTGAAAAACTGCATCGCCATTTTCAGAGCTTAATCTGTGGGACAATTTATTACTAAAGTTTGATCTGGGAAATCCAGAAGACAGAGATCAGATCCATACATATAATTATGATATAACCAGAATAGGAATAAGAAATGAAGATCTAACAGTAAATGTTTTCTGAACATTTAGCTAGCTGTCGTTGGTGATTTGTTAAGCTTACAATGAATTCAACAAGAAGTATTAAATGTCAGTCAAAGTCGGGAGTGTTGGCATTTTGTGTTGTAGTGCCCTGCTTCAATTTGCAAGGAGGATGAAATCTAAAATAGCGCACCTTTTGTGAGTTAATGAGATCACCTTATCTGCCACTGCTGTCAATCTTGTGGAGTCGATTGTTACATGTGGCAAATTATATTGACATTCTAGTTGAAGTTGTTTGCTAACACACGTGTTCAAATACTATGTGCTGACATGGGTATGTGTATTGAATACATATAATCAGTCAATGATGAGACTGAATGGACACTTACCATACCTCTGTCAATACCGTACGACTTTCTTATGATACCGTCAGTCGGCCATTCTTCATATTGAGTATGAAGAGACTTTTGTCATTATATGCCAGAGTTCAGTAATCTGATGGCCACATCTGTACGGGTTTGATTAAAAATTCCGAAAGAAGAATAGCGTGTTAAAGAACCCACTTAATGACTCACAATATGAACTTCAGTTTTTCCATTAATTTTATTTTTTATTTTAACAAAATTGTTTAAGAATAGTCTTTTTGGTGAATGTCGTGTATTCAGTAATTAGCAGTTGAGAAATAAACTTCCTTGTTATTAAATGCGATATTTCTCAACTCCCGATACCTTGTCATATCACGAGTTTGTCGGGTTTGTATCCTATGTGTCAAACTTTGGTCTTTAGGATTGACTAGTATAACATTTATACAAATTGTACCCCTTCACTTAATTAATATATTAACAAATAAGACATAACATATGTCTATCTAAACTAATAAGACATTCTGTGCGCTTTCTTTCGGAACAAAAACAGTGATTAATATTAATAATTAGTAAGCTGAAAAAACCTTTATACAAAACTGTTGTAAAATAAACAAAGTTTATATTACTTAACAAATCTAACTTAAAAAGACCACCATGAATAGGCAAGTATTGGCATTGCGATGATATTGTTCTCTTTTATCATTGCAGTCGATTTTATTTCGTATCGTTTAATATTTGGGAGCCTGAAGATGGTTCCTAGTTCCTAGTTTCGTGTTCCGTTTAAGATAAACGGAACTAGGAACAAGACCCTAGTTCCATTTAAAACTGAAATAACACTATCAATCGAACTTCGACCAAAATACTAGGGGGAGCCTGAAGTTGGTTCCTAGTTCCTAGTTCCGTTTAAGATGAATGGAACTAGGAACCAGACCCTAGTTCCGTTTAACATAAACGGAACTGAAAATCAGACCCTAGTTCCGTTTATCTTAAACGAAACTAGGAACTAGGAACTAGGAACAAACTTCAGACTCCCTATTTATACTTACACAAACACTTTTCCTGGATATATTAATATGTTTTAGTAATTTGGCTGTTATATGTCATAACCAAAACATATTTTCCAGCCAGACAATTTCATCAATGTGCATGCGAGAAAATTTCATCGGTGAACTGAATATATGCAATTTTCGGATCACTTAATGAATATATGGTCAATATTTTTCAATGATATTTCTTTTTATAAATTAGTCAAGGTTAAGACAAGTTTTATTGCTGATAAAATGGATACGAAATTAGCTTTAAACTGATATCAGCTGTCGGTACTTTAGAATGGATAAATCTGGTTTACCGTAAAATGTAAGACATCGCCATGTTTGTGATAAGTTACACTTAGTAGTGAGGTTAGGTTGGTAAGCTATCGGTTATAATTATGAAGTAGACCTCGTCAGACTGTTCCCACTCCGTATACAATCATAAATGAGGCAACAGTTACTCTGGTCATCTGTGTATTATTACAATTAGGAGTACATTATTCATCCCATACACGAGAGTTTCATTTCTGGTTTGGTTTGTAAGATATCATAAAAGACCTTGTGACATATTCTGTGAGGTATTCTTCTTTAAATTTGTCAATATTAATTAAAGTTATTCTCCTTATTAACTTAAAAATACGATATACCGGGACATTTTTGCTGCAGTTTAATTTTCGCCTTTTTCGCTCTGTGTGATGAGGGCGAAAACAACGTAATATAAATAGTAATTAAATGTGAGTCTGGGCGAAAACGGATTTTGCCATCGAAGGTCGAACATTTAATTGGACGAAAATTTCCCGGTATTCGGTAACATAGATTACAGAATGAATATTTAAAACCGTGAATTTCATGATGCTTCTGTTATCACACGGTTGAAAAGTAACTATCAATGACATTCTTCTTTCTTGTTCTCTTAAAGATATTCAAAGAAGGTAAACTTAGCCATTTTGTGGATGGTCGTGGCAGCACTGGGAACTGGATGTCCTTCGTGAACTGTGCTCGATATGCACAAGAACAGAATCTGATCGCTATACAAACAGATGGAAACATCTTCTATGAAGTGTGTAAGGATATTCCACAGGGGACAGAACTCTTGGTGTGGTACGGGGATTGTTACCTACAGTTCATGGGGGTACCCGTGTCACTGAAGGAAATGGCAGATGGCGAAGGCAATCAGGAAAGTGAATGTAAGTTCTGAAACAATATATTTGAATCTGTCTGTAGTTATTTTCGTTTTGTTTTTATATATCATTCTCATTCCAAGCTACTTAATACCATTCACTGATGTCAAATTATGATGAAGACACGTACCCGGGTATGCTGCCATAACTTTGTTGAAATATTGAAAAAAACAAAGGATTTATCAAATTATTGTTTTCTGTAAGAGTGGAAATTCTCGGGTTTTCGCAATAGGTAAAGTAGCGCAAAAAGATCCACACGCGAATCATATATATGTATAGAATATAAAGATTCAGAACCATTTCCAACACACACCGCGATCAGTTTAAGGAGCCAAAACTCAAACATTTATACACACGAGAATTTCCTCTTAAACGGTAATAAATTACGTTAATATGACCAATAAAACCTAATCACATTATCAAAAATAAAAAGGACATTAAAATTAAAGTAACAAGGTTGGACAACAACGAACTCCGCCGAAATGCATTGTATGATATGATATTATATTTAATTATATTTAGATAGGATGTTTTATGCAATATATTCGGAATTCAGTAGTTAATTCTTTCTTTACAGCGGCCGAAGGATACCAGTGTGAGCGGTGTGGCAAGGTCTTCGCCTATAAATATTACAGGGACAAACACTTAAAGTATACTAGATGTGTAGATCAGGGAAACAGGAAGTTCCCGTGCCATCTTTGCAGCAGGTATGTCACTTTCTCCTACCTTGTGGAAAAGTCAAGTCCTTGTGATTCAACCAATATTAATCCGATCCAATGTTCTGTCATAAATTGAGAGGAAGAATTTCCCTATTATCATATCTAGTCGTTTTAATATTCGATTCATTTTATCATTATGATATTGTTGCTGAAATCGACTTGCGGAACTTTGAAATGAAAGCAAATACGTCTGATTTACACTATCTGAAAGTGCAAACAGCTTTTATAGGTACCTTTAACGGTTTTCTTATTCCTTATCCTAAACTACTAATGGAATAAATAAATAAATTAAAAAATAAATAAATAGATAAGACACGTTCTATTACACATTGAAAGGTTTTTGTCCGGAATCTAATCAATTTTCTATCATAACGAGTGTATTTATCTCTCATGATGAGTTTTGTAAACTGTCAATGTGTTTGCTATCTATCTCTAAGGCGTGAGTTTTAACCACCACGAAAGTAGCGTGACACCCAGAAATCTAGTGATACATGGGTCCAAACGTACCCTTAGTTCCGAAACCAATTATCGATGTGGGGTTTACCATTTAGACCAAACTGTTTCTGTTTTTGTCGTCAAAATAACATTAACAAGTCGGTACACTTTCCTAAGTAAGTTACGTGTCCGCGTCTGTTGTTGGCCCGGGCGCTAATCCTGTTACGTCACGTCTCACAGTCTCAATTAGATTGTCCCCTGGCTCCGACAAACGAAGGTGTATACGATGGGGACCAACCATGAACCCAAGTCATCTATTTACGAAAAACCGAAAGTCGACGAAAGAGGGTTACTCACTAACGCGTATCATTTGGGATGTAACTTCTGCCTTTCTTGTAGCCCAATCGCCAAGTCGATGCGGGTTTCGATACTCATGTCTGTATTCGACTCTCCGGTCTCAATTGCCGACGAAAAAGTTTTAAAATGTTCTTTTTGCAAAGGGCAAGAAATTTCCCCTCCACAAGGCGCCAGTGAAGTGATGGGGGTAGTTTTACGTTCGATTGTTTATTAATCTTATTATAAGTGTGTCTACGTTACGTAACTTACGACCCACCGTTCGAGTGATAGCATAACTATGGATATTAACACAATTACGGCCCGGCTGTTTATCACCGCTATATTCCAAATCGCGCCGTTTCTATCACCAGGAGTATAATATAATAAAATAGTTGCTTTCATACACACAATGAATTGATATTTTTATATTTTATATGCAATTAAATGCTCTTGGAGGACATTTAGGGGTTTTTTCAAGGCATTTATGTATTAATCGCCACTATGCTCGCAAATATTGTTTTATTTAAGCTAATAAAACTAACGTAGTTTTATATTTAATTCCCCATTAGGAGACACGTTGTTATAAATTGACAGTGTTGTTTTGTTTCTAGTTATCATTTTATGATATACTGATGTTGATGTAATTTGACAGCGCTATTTTGTTTCTAGTTATCATTTTATGATATACTGATTTGTACCGATTTAAATTGTAAGGTTTAGGCAATATCTGTAATTTTGTAAAGTTATAAATAGTTTTATATACACTGTCCCTTTTCGCTGTATGAATGTTTCGGCACATATTTGACTTTGATTGTCATTATTTTGACCTTAAATACCACATATAATTCCTAAATGGATGAAATTGAATGACGACGTTTTAAAGATTCTTGTTATATTTTCACCTGCATCGATTTAATGAATTGTTAAGCAGATGCTTCTTTACAATTCAGTTGTATTTGATATATGCGGTTGTTGTCCTCCCCGAACGGTACTTTATCGATGCCGTTTGGACTGGACATTTATTTATACAGCTTCGGACTGATAATTGATTCACAGAGCTTCTAACTGGAAATTAATTTGAACAGTTTCGGACCGGAAATTCAACAGTCACAGACTGGATATTAAGTTTCACAGTTTAGGACTGAATTCAAACCTTCGGTCTGGATACTTATGTACACAGCTTCCGTCTGGGCATTATATATTTTTAAAACTAGTTAAGAATACAAGCAACCTTACAGTGACAGATATCTTTTAAAATTTTTAAAAAAACACCGATTTCAATAGTTTATAAACGTATCATTTCAAACGTTACCTTTAGGCATACTAGGACGACAATGACTACCCATTTCTTTTTACATGTATGTCTTTTACAGTAAGAGTAATTCTAATTTCTGCAATAGAAATTGTGAAATTTTCAATTTTCTCCATAAGTGAAAATTTTCTACAATATCCAAGCGTGAATATTTTAACATACATCTATAATTTTTATTTATGAACATATTTGACGGGTTACGGCAAAATATTAATTAATTAATTAAGCAGGCAGGGTTTGTTCTTTATTATCAATTAATTTCATCTTTCTCTGCAATAACTTCATTCGTTGGTGATTATGGTCGATTCCGTAGGGAAGTTACGAAATATTTTTCTATATAAAATGAGCTTGATATGACTACTAATTTGACATCGCAAATTTAGAGTGCTAACTAAACGGTATTTTAATTCCATCTTAAACTCATATTCTTAAGAATCATCTCTGTCTGAAGGTATTGTTTACTTGCGGGATATCTAAATTCACGTGTAATACCGCTCACTTTGTTTTTCTCAAGGACAAAGCAATAACACACGTGATTTCTCACCACAACATGATCGGGGTGACCAAGTTTATTGGCACAAGTCGTATACGTGACGTTAATTTTGATAGCATGATTTTGTTCTCAAGCAGTTTGGTTAAATTAACAAATTAATAGCCCTTTCTTTTTCATTTAAGATCCTTTGAGAAGCGGGACCGTCTGCGCATTCACATTTTGCACGTGCATGAGAAACATCGACCGCACAAATGTATGGTATGTGCCAAGAGCTTCAGCCAGTCCTCCAGCCTTAACAAACATATGCGGGTAAGGGAGACAACTCAATATTACTTAACTCCATTTTAACGAAACATATATTAATGTCACATTCTAATGTTGTTAACTATAATGCATGTCAAACCTTAAGAAGGGCAGGGCAAAACTTAATCGTCGTGGTCAATAGGTTATTTATTAAAAATAAGAAATGTAAAAAAAAAAAAGTTTTTATAAGGGAGTTCACTATTGTCTATATCATACTTAACTTCGTGTTAGAGGTCGTAGACGGAATATCCAACACGTGTTTATAACTTCTTCATTTTGCTCTAGTAGCCTGGTGGTTTCTGAATAAAGCAGGGCACACTGAATTAAATTAAATATGAAAATGTTTTGGTCTATTTACGTTTTCTTACAAAAAGTAGTCCACACTAGTCCACACTGGTTATTTTCCTTGTGAGGGGGGAGTGACAACAAATGAATTCTTGTATATGCAAACAAAAACTTCAATTTCCAATAATTCCGCTTTTTACTTTTTCTTCTTCTGCATATTCACTATTCAAACTTATTTCGTTTTTTATTTTATTTATAAGTCATGCGTTTCAAGAATTCGACGAAAGGTTTTGAAACATGGATGTCCGTTTATAATGTCAATTATTGACAAAGACAAATATATGATGTTATAATTTTGTTCGCCAGGTACACAGTGGAGAGCGGCCCTATAAGTGTGTTTATTGTAACAAGGCTTTCACGGCTTCCAGTATTCTACGGACACACATCAGACAACACTCGGGAGAAAAACCATTTAAGGTAAAAACGTAAACAAGTAAATTATGAAAAGTTATTTTTACACAACCAATTAGAGTTTCTATGTGACGTTTCGATGACTCGTACGGTATGTAAACTGTTACCTTCATCAGACATCGAGATGAAGGGCTTATACACTCTCGCACATCTATGACCATGTATTAAACAAAGCGTAGCTGAATTGAGTCATTTCGGTAAATATATAACAACTATTGTACATACGTTTCCAGCGTAGCCGCATCGACATCGATTTTGTGGACAACTCGTACACATTTTACACATTTTTGTGGATATGCTTCACTGGTCATTTGTCTGATGAAGGTGACATTGTACATATCGTACTAGTCATCGAAACATCACATAGACACTCTTATTGGTTGTGTAAAAAGAACTTTTCCTAATCCATACTTACCAACTGTTTAGAAACAGTAAACGGGACTATGACACGTTGATTACACGTATTCATACTGACGATACTCCCACAGTTAACGGGACTATTACACGTCGATTACACGTATTCATACTGACGTTACTCCCACAGTTAACGGGACTATTACACGTTGATTACACGTATTCATACCGATGATACTCCCACAGTTAACGGGACTTTTACACGTTGATTACACGTATTCATACTGACGATACTCCCACAGTTAACGGGACTATTACACGTTGATTACACGTATTTAAACTAACGATACTCCCAAAGTTAACGCGACTGCTACACGTTGATTACACGTATTTATACTGACGATACTCCCACAGTTAACGGGACTATTACACGTTGATTACACGTATTCATACTGTCGATACTCCCGCAGTTAACGGGATACATCTCGGGGCTTTCGAGTGCTCCTAAACTATACATTTCGGTGAAGTCGATATATCGGATAATTCGAATATCTTATTTGTTCCAAGGACTTCGAATTATCCGAACTAGAAAGTAAAATATTTTAACATGCCTGATGTCTACGCAAAAGAAAACTGTAGTTTCTTCATAATGTTTTAATATAAGCTGATTTCGTGGTACATTTAATTAACCATTAATAATGTAGTTGGATAACATACATATTGACTCGTAGAAGCTATAAGTGCAATTTCAATTTGTTTACAATTATTATGGTAAAATAATGAACTACTCTACCTGCAGCTCGATATGACGTCATAATAGAAACAGTTGAATGGTATAATGTCAAAGGTTATAGGCCACGTCACCAAGGATATCATATTCAGTTTTCCGATACATATATACATATAATATGGAGTTCAGATAACGATTCATATGAAAATGAGTAGCCTATCAAATGCTGGATTAAACATTACAAGCATATAATTTGATTTTGTTCGTTAAACATGATGGTTAGGAAAATAATTCTTAAATATTTTGTATTTCAGTGTCGGCATTGCGGGAAAGCTTTTGCGTCGCACGCGGCACACGACAGTCACGTGCGGAGAACACACGCGAAGGAGAAGGCTTGCTCGTGTGGTGTCTGCGGCACAATATTCGCCACCTCATTCGAACTGAAAAAACATATGAATATCCACACCACAGGATAAATTGTGGAAAAACCAGGAGTGTGTGATTTTAATTTATTACGTTTGTGAGTGGATTGTTTGTTTTCCAAGAGATTGTCATTTTAAGGTTTATGTTAGGTTTTGTATGGTATATAATTAAATGTTGACCTTTTTACTCATAATTATCAAAAAGTTTCTCTTCGATATGTTTATCACAAGAAATTTCCAACTTATGTCGAAATTGAGAAAATGTCTAAACTAGAATAAAAGCGAGTAGAAATTCTAATTTTTTGGCAATTTTAAAACTTCTAAACATCAATTCAATAAGTCACACATATGAAACACTGATGTCGTATGTCTTTTGTGTTAATCTCGTGACTTATAGCATTTATAAGATTACATTGTAAGGATGCAAAAACGAAACGTAACACATTCTACATTTTTAGAAACCATCGTATGTTCTCATTAGGGACGGTCTGCGGTCACATAAGAAATTATGGATGCAGTTTTATTGATAACTAATCATGAGGTTACATAAGTTGAAATATGTATGTAATAAAAAACAAGCTTAGATTGTATTACAAAATGTGCCAACAATAGCTCGTATTTCCAGCATATTAAACGGCATCTGGATACTCTATGGGTTACGCTCACTTTCGCTCTCTGCACCCTTGAAACATGTCATAACAAAGTTGAAGGCACGTGGCTAGCTATTTGATTGGTCTCGGGTGAAAAAACATGATCAAACGCAGGCTGATACCTGTCATTTGAAGATTATAAAGGAGCACCACCTGACAGCAAAGCCAGAAAATTGTACCATTATGCGACTGCGATATTCTTTTGATTTACATGAAAGGATCAAACTAGTCCTCTTGTGTTATGGACAAGGTGGTGCACACTGAGCCTTCGATTTTTCTATGACATATTCAAGGGCTGCAGAAAGTGAGCGTAGCTCCTGGTGTATCAGGAGTGTAATCATATTTAATGTTCAGTCATATAAATGTATATCATATCAAGCCAATCACCTAGAATTTAAGAGAACATTAAGATATATTATATTACTTGGCTTGAAAAGCTGGTTTTGTTTTTATATTATGTCGATGCTCATTATATGTTGATAAAAATTGAATTCATTATTTATCATTTTAATATGTCAGTTTATTATGAATAAACTGATATCTTGTACATATATTTTACATCTAAAGCAAGCACATTCTAATGTGCTTACCTGTTGAGTTATGATTAGGTATACAAAACATTTTCTTAGCATTCCATGTTAAATTACATGATATTTGTAACACATGTATTAGCGATCAACATTTTGGTGTTGATTATAATAAAATAATTTGATTATAATTGCGATGCAACTGTGCTAATATATTTGTTTTGATGATAATAAAAAAACTGAACTGTTTCCTTTTTTGTCATGTGATTCTTCGTAGCATTGATTGATCACATTGCAAGTATGTCAAAATCTAGTAATACTTAATACTTGGCATATAAGTTAAAAATATCTTCGTATTTTGAGACTATCAGAATTTTTTAGATTCATTGCCCTCATATAGTAGTGAGCTCAAATACGGTAAGTCATGTGTCTTTGTGTCGGCTTCCTTGCTTGTTCGTGATCTCAAATGCTGTAAGTCATGTGTCTTTGTGTCAGCTTCCATGCTTGTCCTTGATCTCAAATACTGTAAGTCATGTGTCTTTGTGTCGGCTTCCATGCTTGTTCCTGATCTCAAATAATGTAAGTCATGTGTCTTTCTGTCAGCTTCCATGCTTGTTCTTGATCTCAAATAGTGTAAGTCATGTGTCTTTGTGTCGTCTTCCGTGCTTGTTCGTGATCTCAAAAAATGTAAGTCATGTGTCTTTGTGTCGGCTTCCTTGCTTGTTCGTGATCTCAAATGCTGTAAGTCATGTGTCTTTGTGTCAGCTTCCATGCTTGTCCTTGATCTCAAATACTGTAAGTCATGTGTCTTTGTGTCGTCTTCCGTGCTTGTTTGTGATCTCAAAAAATGTAAGTCATGTGTCTTTGTGTCGGCTTCCTTGCTTGTTCGTGATCTCAACTACTGTAAGTCATGTGTCTTTGTGTCAGCTTCCTTGCTTGTTCTTGATCTCAAATACTGTAAGTCATGAGTCTTTGTGTCAGCTTCCATGCTTGTTCGTGATCTCAAATAATGTAAGTCATGAGTCTTTGTGTCAGCTTCCATGCTTGTTCGTGATCTAAAATAATGTAAGTCATGTGTCTTTGTGTTGGCTTCCATGCTTGTTCTTGATCTCAAATAATGTAAGTCATGTGTCTTTATGTCGGCTTCCATGCTTGTTCTTGATCTCAAATACGGTAAGTCATGTGTCTTTGTGTCGGCTTCCTTGCTTGTTCGTGATCTCAAATAATGTAAGTCATGAGTCTTTGTGTCAGCTTCCATGCTTGTTCGTGATCTCAAATACTGTAAGTCATGTGGCTTTGTGTCAGCTTCCATGCTTGTTCTTGATCTCAAATAATGTACGTCATGTGTCTTTGTGTCAGCTTCCTTGCTTGTTCTTGATCTCAAATAGTGTAAGTCATGTGTCTTTGTGTCGGCTTCCTTGCTTGTTCTTGATCTCAAATACTGTAAGTCATGTGTCTTTGTGTCAGCTTCCTTGCTTGTTCGTGATTTCAAATACTGTAAGTCATGTGTCTTTGTGTCAGCTTCCATGCTTGTTCGTGATCTCAAATACTGTAAGTCATGTGTCTTTCTGTCAGCTTCCATGCTTGTTCTTGATCTCAAATAATGTAAGTCATGTGTCTTTGTGTCGGCTTCCATGCTTGTTCTTGATCTCAAATACTGTAAGTCGTGTGTCTTTGTGTCAGCTTCCTTGCTTGTTCGTGATCTCAAATAGTGTAAGTCATGTGTCTTTGTGTCGGCTTCCTTGCTTGTTCGTGATCTCAAATACTGTAAGTCATGTGTCTTTGTGTCAGCTTCCATGCTTGTTCTTGATCTCAAATACGGTAAGTCATGTGTCTTTGTGTCGGCTTCCATGCTTGTTCGTGATCTCAAATACTGTAAATCATTTGTCTTTGTGTCGGCTTCCATGCTTGTTCGTGATCTCAAATACTGTAAATCATTTGTCTTTGTGTCGGCTTCCATGCTTGTTCGTGATCTCAAATACTGTAAGTCATGTGTCTTTGTGTCAGCTTCCATGCTTGTTCGTGATCTCAAATACTGTAAATCATTTGTCTTTGTGTCGGCTTCCATGCTTGTTCGTGATCTCAAATACTGTAAATCATTTGTCTTTGTGTCGGCTTCCATGCTTGTTCGTGATCTCAAATACTGTAAATCATTTGTCTTTGTGTCGGCTTCCATGCTTGTTCGTGATCTCAAATACTGTAAGTCATGTGTCTTTGTGTCAGCTTCCATGCTTGTTCGTGATCTAAAATAATGTAAGTCATGTGTCTTTGTGTTGGCTTCCATGCTTGTTCTTGATCTCAAATACTGCAAGTCGTGTGTCTTTGTGTCAGCTTCCTTGCTTGCTCTTGATCTCAAATAGTGTAAGTCATGTGTCTTTGTGTCGACTCCTTTGCTATATCGTGACTTCAAAAACTTTAAGTCATGTGTCTTTGTGTCGGCTTCCATGCTTGTTCGTGATCTCAAATACTGTAAGTCATGTGTCTTTGTGTCAGCTTCCATGCTTGTTCGTGATCTCAAATAATGTAAGTCATGTGTCTTTGGGTCAGCTTCCATGCTTGTTCTTGATCTCAAATAATGTAAGTCATGTGAATTTGTGTCAGCTTCCATGCTTGTTCTTGATCACAAATACGGTAAGTCATGTGTCTTTGTGTCGGCTTCCATTCTTGTTCGTGATCTCAAATAGTGTAAGTCATGTGTCTTTGTGTCGACTCCTTTGCTATATCGTGACTTCAAAAACTTTAAGTCATGTGTCTTTGTGTCGGCTTCCATGCTTGTTCGTGATCTCAAATACTGTAAATCATTTGTCTTTGTGTCGGCTTCCATGCTTGTTCGTGATACCAAATAATGAAGGTCATGTGTCTTTGTGTCGGCTTCCATGCTATTTCGTGATCTTAAAAACCGTAAGTCATGTGTCTTTGTGTCAGCTTCCATGCTTAAAAACGACAAGACCTGTTTTGATATTTGGTATTTGAAGTTTTATTTGAAATTTAAGCTAAATATATTCTAAGAATGTTCAAATAATTAATTTTTAAAGTGAATGAAGTAGGAAGATAAATTGTTAGTGAATTTTAAAGACTATAGACTACTAAATTCAGTGATGAAACATTTCAGCAGGGTTTTGATATTCAATGGAAAGTGCTCCACCTATTGTTTATATGTTTCACTAATGCAGCGGAATGAATTACGAATTAAGTAAAAATAATGTCATCGGTTATGTAACTTGTTTGGGTTCATACCACATCATGTTCACCTTTACAAAAGTCCATAATTGTATAATAGATACTGAAATATTAAATTAAAAACTCGTGTCATGATGACGGCCATACATTGTCAGGCTAAATAATTTAATGATTGGCTATAAACGAGCAAGTTACCTGTAAATGGCATAGCCCACGTGTTGACAGTTTCATTTTTATGACGTCATGTTCACCTTTACAAAAGTCCATAATTGTATAATAGATACTGGAATATTTAATTAAAAACTCATGTCATGATGACGGCCATACATTGTCAGGCTAAATAATTTAATGATTGGTTATAAACGAGCAAGTAAACTGTAAATGGCATAGCCCACGTGTTGAGAGTTTCATTTTTATGACGTCATGTTCACCTTTACAAAAGTCCATAATTGTATAACAGATACTGAAATATTGAATTTAAAACTCATACCATGATTACGACTATACACTGTCAGTTTAAATAATTTAATGATTGTGGCTTTAAACGATCAAATACACAGTAAATATCATGGCCCACGTGTTGACATCTCCATTCTTATGACGTCATAGATGTAACGTTAGATACCACTGACCCTCTTGCTGTTCTATTTGTGGAAAAAAACATGCATAACACATACACGTTTCTTTTACCCTAACTGGATACTAGTATCCACAATTTTACCAGTGTCAAATTCACTCTAGGGTTGAGACGGGGGATTCTCTTGTTCATAACAATATTATGACGTCACGTCAACAATACATTGACGTCATGTCAACCCTGAATTTAGCCTGTAATGTTTACATTTACATTATGTATATGATACACAGACGGCGAACAGGGTAAGAGAAAAAGAATCATTCACCCCATTGAGGGTGTGATAGGGGAATCTCAAGCCATGGGTAAAGAAAGATTCGTGTGTGTCAGCTTAGAATCTCCTCCCTCTGGTCGAGATTCCCCTATCTCACCTCCAAGGGGGTGAGAGATTCTATTAATCTTAACTATACCTGGATTTTATTAATTATGCATATTTTAATTTCTATAATATTAAAATATGATTGTTCTCCGAAAATGGTAAAAATAAGTATGGTGTATTGATATGGCATTTACAGTTTTGGAGGCAAACAATATAATGTGAATTATATACAATACATTTAACATACATTATAAGTGAATCAAATAGAAACAGGTCTCTCATTGAAGGTATATATTACGTTGTCACACAATGTGTTGAATTAGATCATTTCTTTTTGTATCCATATCCATTACACTGTGGACATCGCCTGTAGTCCCTTACCAAACCGGTTCCTGTACATTCACTACATTTTTTACTCTCCGCAGGCGGTTCAAACGACTTGACGATTGCACCAGCTCCAATACCGGCCGCAGATCCACCAACAATTCCTCCAACGAACGCGCCAACTGGTCCACCAACGATAGTCCCCACTATGGCCCCAGAAAGGCCACCCCATAGGCCGCCAGCTGTACTCGCTACTCCCACGTTATCCCCTTTAAGGGCGTAATATGGCCCAGTAAAATGAGAAACGACTACATCACCAATCTTCGGCACAGCTTCACCTACCAACGCTTTTGCAATAGCGCCAATGGCATAGCTCGCTGCAGCGGCTGCAGCGTCATGTTTCTTATCCAAAGCATAATCTACAACCGTTTTCTGATTGGGTGGTCTTCTTACAAGTTCAAGAGCTTTGACCAGATAAATTGGTTCACCTTGTATGGCCAGTTTGACAACTCCATCTGTCTTCCTGTCATACAACACGACACTGCGGATCTTACGTTTAGCTATTTCAGCAAATCGTTCCTCTGCGTCTTTCTTAACATTGAACATGTCGCCTAAATATATCTTCGGGGTTTCATCAATGTCCTTCGCATATGATACTATCATGTAGCGTTTTGACATAGTTGATACTTTACACTTTGTTTTACGGAATCTAAAATGAAAAAGCGTGTGTTTCAGTTATGTCCAGCTAGCTCAACATTCGTTTCGGGTACTAATGTAAATCAATTCATGACCTGATCAATTTGTAAATTTGTTGATTTATATCGTTAAACCCGATCATGCAACCACCTCTTTCAAGAGACCTCCTGTGGAAATAAACTAGTTTTAATTTTCCCAATGTGATGATTTTATTGTGAACTGAACCGATATTATGAGACTACCTGCATAAAGAGACCACTTTCTAGAGGGTGGCATTCAACTGTATATACGATATCTTAAATATTTATGTTTGCCTCAATTGTGTAAAAGATATCTTAAATATTTATGTTTGCCTCAATTGTATATAAGATATCTTAAATATTTATATTTGCCTCAATTGTATATAAGATATCTTAAATATTTATGTTGGCCTCCATTGCATATAAGATATCTTAAATATTTATGTTGGCCTCAATACACAGTCACAATCGATAATCCCAGTCTTCACTAGAAATACGAAGTGAAGAAGCACTAATTCCCAAATTTAGAAAGTCGATGGAGAATGCACAACAAATATTAACTATAAAATATGTCCGGTTTCCATTTAAACTGTATCATTTGATAATACATATTTTCATGTCACAAGTATTGACGCGAGTATATGTAATAAAACCAAATATATTAAAATTGTTCCAATTACATGTGCAACTAATAAAATCGCAATTACGCTTATATATGAGCGCCAGTGGACTTATCACCAAGGACCGATAATGTAGAAATGCATGTAAAAGGTATTGTGAACTATTAAAGAACTGAATGTGACGAAAGTTTTACATCTAGATCCCTTGCCACTATAACATGTTAAACGTGCCAATTTTATAAGACTAGCAGCGCCATAGCAGAATTTTGCTACTTTCATGTAGCTTTGATAACATGCATATTCAAATTCGGTTTGTAACTTACGTTTGACGCCGGAGTTACACTGGCTTGGACACAAGTCGTCGTTCTGAAGCCACTTCCCGATAGAGACATGATATAGTGTTTCACGTAACGTCATAAACAAGATACAACAAGCACCAATACCTTCAGAGTGATTGAGCCCACTGACAATCTCCAATTAGTTATTTACATTCATTGTAAATTCAGTATAAAACATGTTCTCTGTTCTATTGCTTATTATTCTTGTAGGTACATGTATATGTGCACTTTAATAGGGGAAATTCTCACCTTGGAAAATGATCGCGTTTCTGTAAAATAATCGTGGTGTGGAAACTCTCGCGTTCTACCACCTTTAATCTTTATATACATATTTGCGTGTTGATATGTTCTCGCTAATTCACTCAGGGCGAAAAACGTGAGCTTTTATCACCGCGATAATATCCACTATAATATGCAGTATTTAACATGCGTTAAATGTAAATCAGATGTTTTTATACGATATATATGTATATATGGATAAACATTTCGTTGTAATGAGTTATACAACGATAAACAAGATTCAAATGCATACTGAAAGGATAAACAATCATTGACCTGCATGGCCTACCATTATGAAAACCGGTCAGACGAGTATCTTCGTCACTGTGCGGCCAAACCCATGTCTAAGGTTTCTTAATCATATAATGTACCGTGCCAAATAGTGAAAGTGTTCAAATGCAAAAAAGCACTTGCAGAATATTGACGACAAGTTCAACACATCTTGTCCTACCACTTGATACCTTTGAGATATAAATATCGCTTTCCGCTCTTTACTGTCAATTAGAATGTCTTGCAGGAGTCAGTTTATTGCATTGCTAATGCAAGGTCAAAGGCAGCAACATGTTGCTTTGCCACCCGTATGAATGTTTCAACCATAGAACGTCTTGTCCGTCGTCTGAGAGACACCGGAATTGTTGCCGACCGACCACGATCGGGACGTCCGTGCGTAACGACGCGATGTCAAGACAGGGCCTTTCGTCTTGCCCACCTGCGTAATCGCCAATAATTTACTGCCACTGAAACCGGTTTTAATATAGTAGACAATCAGAATCGCCACATTCACCCCAAAACTGTAAGGAACCAATTGCGCGAGGTTGGTCTGCGAGCTCGTCGTCCTTACGTTGGTCTGCCGCTAACTCGTGCACGTCGCGCGCGTCGTATGGCTTGGTTTTGGGCACATGCTCACATACGATTTCCAATTAAGCAAAGGAGATGGGTCTTTTTCACAGATGAATCCGGGTTCACTCTTTTTCGTCCGGACGGTCGACGTCGTGTATACCGACGTCGTGGGAACGCTTCGCCGACGCTTCTTGAGAGGGATTTATAAACCGCCGTAAGATATAGGGATGGAATTATCCGCCCGGTTGCAGTTCTATTTGCGCAACAGCACTCCTTATTTTCCAGCAAGATAATGTAGCCAGATTTTGTCAAGACTTTCTCGCAAACCATAACATGAACACAGTCGAATGGCCGCCGGACACTCCAGTTTTGTCCTCAATCGAACATCTGTGGGACTAAGAACTGGCTTGTTAGAAAAGTGGAACAATATTACTCATGAATATCGATCAAAATCTTATGAAATTTTGGTAATTTGTTTATTGAAGATTTTTTTTATACTTATATACAAATATTGTATATACTATTCAAATACATAACATTAAATCACCTCAATTGTTTACCCTGCCTTTCTGTTTCCTTTCAGTACATTGTATATATAGAGAGGTTAATGAAGTTAATTAGATATCAAGGAAAATGATAAGCGAGTGAAATGTCCTAAAATCTCTAAGAAAACAAACGAACAGTAGAATACACCAAAACAAAAAGGAATGCATCCTGAAAATTATAATTTGTAATGCACCTATTAATAAAATAAGGTTTTTCATGTGGAAAGACAAACTCGGTAAACATTTAATGCACCATATGACCACAAAAAGAAAATTATCACTAGTTGTACATAATTCCGTCTGATGTAGATTACAGGATTGCCTTGGTATCAACAATGCTACACACGTATGAACATGGGATGATATATTACATTAGTCATAACCGATAGAGCTTATCAAATTCCAATTATCTTCATTTAATTATAGCTGATAATGACGGACTTGTTCAGGTAATGAACAACTTAAAAGTAAATGAGCAACAAACGTGCTTTATAATACAAGGTAAGTAGTACTATTATACTGTTGAGTACTTATAATGCGTCTACGTTTAAATATAATTAAATATTATGATTTAATTACCAAACATATTTAAGACATGACAAACTATAAGCATAGCCAGACAGTAAGGCTGAAGACACAGCGACGGCTGAATTGGTGAGTACATATACTAAAAATATTGAATAAGAGTGACTGATGGTGAGTACATATACTATAAATATTGAATTAGAGTGACTGATGGTGAGTACATATTCTATAAATATTGAATTAAAGTGACTGATGATCTCCTATTCTGACAAGAGTTCAGCACATAGTATAGTGTTTCATATGATGACACTTGTTAAACAAGCATTTTTCTGTAGTAAGGTTCCTGTTTATGAACTGAAATAGTCAAAGGATACAATTTTATTCGACTTTTTGAAAATAATTGTGCCATATATTGCACCTTGTTGACGTAAACTTGTCGTGCATTTTGAGGGGATTTTTTCCCTCTATTTTTATCACAGGTAGAAAACGTATAAAAAAACATATATTTTGTAGAGATTGTGGAGGTTAAGTAAGACAAGTAACAATTTTAAAGTTACGTATGATAGATAATACATAGATTATTACCATTCCTTTGTAAGTGTGTCCTTAAATGACCTTAGCTGTTAATAGGACGTGAAACAAAATTAAAACAAACCAAACCTTTATAAGTAATATTTGATTTCCGAATTCATCTTCAAGTGGTCGCTATGTAAGATATTCGTGGTTAAACATAATCTACACTGGATGTTTTGCCACCCATGGAATCCTCTTGATGAAATGCTCGTTATTCGAGGACAACACATTCTCCTTAACAGTAAGTCCCCATTTGGAATAATGAGAGCCTGTTGAAATATTTCTGAGTGAGTTTCAACTGAAAGATATCGACTTAAAATGATCATACAGACGATTTTATTCTCAGTGTATTCGTTCTTCCTTTGCAGTTCGATGTTAACTGTCATTTCTTTTGAAACATGGCTTATATATGGAAATTATCTTTATATTGTATGACACAGAAATGTATTACATAGTGCTACGATATATCACAGAAGGAAATGAGGTGGCGGTGAGGCAGAAGATAGCTCTAGCTATGAAGTTCATTTCTTAATAGAACCCATCTATCCAGTCTTTGAAAGAGCAAATCAACTGTGACATATGCACTCCATAAACATAGAGTATGTAACTATTAAGGAAAGAAAAGTTAACAATCATTCATTTAAAATCCCGGAGGATATAGGAAATGCAAGACGTTCTTGAACCTCAAGGACAAAACATCCAAAACACAATTCTGTTGAATATTTCTAAATCGAATTTTAAAATGTTATTGCCCCCAAGAAAATGATAAATGCCCCATGTAGAGAGTTTTCTGTTACTCTAAATACATCTCTTAGGTGGAATTAAGGTCATGATGAGGACCGAAATGTCTTCAGCGTAGATTGAAACATATCAGGTAGGATACCCTGGATATGAAGTATGATGGTCAGCAGTTCCCATCTTTCTCCTTATACTGATGTATAATGTTACTGAATTACATGTTAAACTATCCACATGTATAGTGCATTCCGTGTTTTGAAATAGCGACTTTGATCCTTTTCTTGATTCTGCAGTTGAAAGCTAAGTAATTCAATAACATGAAAAATATATAAAAAATCAGAATGCGACAAATGTTTAAATGACCAAATTGAGAGCATATTGAATTAGCCGAATGCTTAACATCACTTACTTGTGTGTCTTTGTTATGATTGATAATAACTTGATTGATCACGTGATGTTGAGCATTTAACAAAAATAAAATAAAACATGACTAGTTTAGTTAGATAGTCATGGGCATGTTTAAACGTATCGCCTTTACCATTTCGTGTTTTAATTCGCAATCTTTCCTTTTTCATTGTCTAAAAATTGTGCACATTATTCACAAAACAAGACGAACATGAATAGATAACAATACAATTAGATACATGTCAGACCATGTCAGTGACGAATGAAGCCAAGGGTTGTGTGAACAGCCCATTACAGTGATTAACTAATTTACACGAACATGTATTTATGAAGATTTCACTTCATGAAAAAACAAATAATAGAAGATTTTTGTCATTTTTGTTATTTCTTTTTAAATTAATGTTCTCGAGAAAGATTTTGAAAATGAATATCTCACATAACAATGTAATATGTATAATTTGAAATTTATTTGACATTTAAAATAAGAGGCACATTGGGCCTGCATCGCTCACCAGGTATCAATCTCACACTTGTAACCTTAAAATTGATCTAAAATAAAGCTACAGGCAAAATATCAGTATTTATGACTACAGGCCATTAAAAAGAACCTGTTAAACGATTATAAAATATTTGACCCCTGCGACCTTCAAAGTCGAACAAGATCATTACGTTGAACAAACTTTATGGCCCTTCATCTCAGCATGCCACTTGCCAAATATGTCCACCTTTTGTTTATTGAAATTAAGTCATTTAAAGGTTTATACATATCTGACCTATTGTGATCTTGAAAAAAAGTCAATAACATTCATTTGAACAAATTGGTAGCCCTTCATCCTAGCATGCTACTTGCCAGATAGCATCATCCTGATCCTTTTGGTCATTCAAAAGAAGTTTTAAAAGATTTTAAACATATTTGACCCCGGTGACATTGAATATATGTCAATATCATTGATTTAAACAAATTGATAGCCCTTCATCCTACTGGCCAGATAGCATCATCCTTGTCCTTTTAGTTTTTCAGAAGAAGTTGTCTAAATATTTTGAACATATTTGATCGCTGTGACCTTGAATAAAGGTCAAGGTCATTCATTTTAACAAACTTGGTAGCCCTTCATCAAAGCATGTGTTCTGCTAAATATCATCATCCTGTACCTTTTGATTTTGACAAGTGTTTAAAGATTTTAAGCATATTTGACCCCTGTGCCCTTAGATATAAGTCGAAGTCATTCAATTGAACATACGTGGTAGCCCTTCATCCTAGCATGCTACTGGACTGCAGAAGTCGTTTAAATATTTTAGACGTATTTAACCCCTGTGACCTTGAATACAAACCAAGGTCATTCATTTGAACAATCTAAGTAGCCTTCGTCCTAGCATAGTACTGGCCAAATATCATTATACTGTGCCTTTTAGTTTTCAGAAGAAATTGTTCCAGGATATAAAACACATTTTACCCATGTGACCTTAAATACAAGTCAAGGTTATTCATTTTAACAAACTTGGTAGCCCTTATCCTAGTATGCTACTTGACAGATATCAAAATGCTGAACCTTATGGTTATTCAGAAAAAAATCGTAAAACGATTTTTAAACATATTAGACCCCTGTGGCCTTGGACAAAGTTAGTAGCCCTTCATCCCGGCATGCTACTGACCAAATATCTTCACCCTGGATCTTTTGGTTATTAAGAAGAAGTTGTTTAAATATTTTTTTTAAAGACAATTGACCCGTGTGACCTTGAATATGAGCGAGGTTCATTTATATGAACAAATTCAGTAGCCATTCATCCCAATTTGCTTCTGGCCAAATATCATCAGCTAGGCTTTTTGGTTATTAAGAAGTTGTTTAAAGTAAAATATTGACGCCGGACGACGGACGCCGTGACACGGCATAAGCTTACCTGGCCTTAGCCCAAAAGGATCAGGTAAGCTTAAAATGTAAAAAGTGTTTTTAGCCTAGCCAAGCTAAACAAACTAGCCACGTCCCTTAATTTCGCAATCAGATATAACGACAGTGTGCTGTCTTTGAATATCAAGAAATCCATTGACAACATCGATCGTATATACCCTCTAGAGCTTAAATTCAAGGACACCACGTCCTCGTCTTCTTCAGCTAGTTTACTGTTAAGCTACATTATAACCAAGACGATATCGACTTTCATATCGTGAACGTTCCCCTACTTGATAATAACGTCCAAGCTTCCCCTACTTACGACAATTACATGTCCCAGTTGATTTTCATGAATTCTGTGATAGATGTCGACTGCTGACGAACAAACAAAGATGCAGGTTGATGAAGACAGCTAGAGGAACATGCTATTTCTTATTGTGATACGAAGGTCGATATTTTGTATGCTTATTACAGTTCCTTTACAAACAATAAGAGGTCTATTGAGTCTTTTCATCTTCAACAATATCATTCTTTTCACAATCATCAAAATGATATTGTTGTCATTGTTAAACAACACTGTTGACAATTATTGTTGCATTTTAAATTACAGCAATTGTATTGTAAATAAATAAATATATAGTGTTCCTCGGCGGAACCGTGATGGGTTTCGCTAGAACTCCTCGCTAATAATACATGATGGAAAATAAAGGATAATCAGGTGTTGAGTATCTTATATTTTTCATTATAACAATTATACAGCGAAATAATTTTGTTTAAAATTACATGTACAACGATAATTTGGTTACTTATTTGTCGTAATGACAATAAAACCAGATATATAATTACTCATAAATGATCCCGGGAAATTATGTTATATACTGTAAACAAACAAGTACTAATTTTAGTGATAATGATATTTTAGCACTTTCAGCGCGTAGTTAAGAGCGTTAAATTAAGATACCCAACAGCTTACTATAGAAGCACTGCACCCCTAAAAGTCGTAGCTAACCCGTCACATCGTCAAAATCTTGACGCGTACAAGTCTAATGACTTCGTCGTCACTTGAAATATTGGTACGCCAATACGCCAAGTATGTTTGAAGTTTAAACTAACATCAAATGATGTGATGTGTCTTCAAACCTAGCATATTTTGATATTTTTCAGATATCAGAAACCCATCAAATAAACATCGAAAGAAGAGAAAATGGGAAGATATCTCGTAATATGTTATGAGAGTGCTAAGCACGAAACACCATCTATTGTATGCAATACCGATAGCCTGAAGGTCGCACAAGAAACGTTTAAAGAGAAGGGGGAACGGAAGATACACAGCACAGTTTTATACGACAGACAGAATGACCAGGTGAGGAAATTTGCCATTGAAGGTGAACCCAAGTCTCTTTCGCTTGCTATAGAATTGGCCAGAAAAAATAAATCGAACACCAACGTCGACAAAAGGGACGAAAATGTCAAAGAAGCTGTCGGAGAAATATCCAGTTTAGCACACGTCTTAATGGGAAACGCTGTACCTGGCATTAGCCATGTTGTTGAAGCTCACCTCATGGGACCTTACTACGCTATGAAAGGGGACGGAGTTAAGGCGGTGCAAGCATGCGCGGGACTGTTTGGAGGGATGGCCGGAACAGTTCTGGGACTAATAACAGGACCCGCAGGAGCAGTGGTCGGAGGAGTCGCCGGGGCAGCATTGGCCTCCGGGGCAACAGGTGAACTCTTCAAGGTATTTAATCATCCGGACAAATGTAAGGATTGCAACGGAACAGGGCTGGTCAAAGACTACCGCACGTGCAAGAAATGTGAAGGCTACGGGTATATCAAAAAGTAGCTGCATATCAAGAAAGTGACTGGACGAGAAGAAAAACTGATTATTTTTTTATCATGATACATCGATCTCGAATACATCTAGGAAAATTCTGGTTCGATTTCTTTCATTTTCTTTCCTGACATCGAATGCTTTAATTCGGAACGTCCGCATAGTCTTGCTAAGCAATATCACCGGACTAGTTGGAGGATTACTGAAATCTTCCACAAATTTGTAATGAGACGTCCATCGGTCTACTTTTAACTAATCCCATGCCTTCTTGTCTGTATTTTGCTATATTAAGATCAAGGTCCCACTTTGCATATTTTTTTCTCTGATGATATCTGGACTTCACTCAAATCCAACTCAATCTTTTAATAAATTATATTTCCTAATGACAAATTTTATCTTTATTAGGAAACAGAAATTTACCGTGAAAGTTACCTCCTTTCTGATAGAGTTCCATTATCTTTTATGAATAGTAATGATTAAACAAGGGAGTTAATTCAGATAAAAACAAATGAATATAGTGTATAAGCTAGCATATAGCCTTAATGTTTTATTTGGAATACCTTCCGGATCAAAAGGTCAAATGGGAAGATGAGATGTAGTACATGTATTGCTTAACAATACTTGTCTCTCTTAAAAGTCCAGCTAAAGGTCGATGTAGTATTTTTATATATTTGTAAAACAGGGACTTTTTTGGAAAAACAAAACACGTACTACTTTTCAATGAACTTTATTAATATTGTATTCTATGTAATGTAACGGTATCTAGAATTATATATATAAATAAAGTACTCAAACCCTAGCCAGCTAGAGATAACAACAAAAAACAACAATAGCATCAACAACTAGAAAGTCGTGTTCCAGACAACCTTTTTTTGAAAATTTTCATTTTCAGATTTTACATTGTATGATATCAAACAGAATAAACATTTCCCTCTAATACTCTAGTCTGGATTATCGACATTCCAATAAATAAGAGATATATCATGATTAACATATATAAAAATAACTCTGGCTTTAATTTGGGAATAAAATTGAAGGGCGATTTTGTAATGCTTTAAATGTTTTTTTTGATGACAGTTAAATAGCATCGCCACTTCATTAATACTTCATTGATAAATCAAATTGAAAAGCACAATAGGTCACATATAATCTGCTACAACGTGTATGAATGTCCCAGGACCCTGATATATGGAATACATTTTATGGAAACAAAACCTTGAGGGCGAGTTTTTTGTCAACAGTTTTGGGTTAGTGGGTTCCTGTTTCCATAGATCCAACTCGAAAACTTTCAAAAATTTTCAAATTTCAAACATATTATTGATTTTTATTTCATCTTTCTACATTGTAGATGTCAATTAAGATGTCCAACAGTATCAATTTCAAAAATAGATAAGTTGATGTAACGTGTTATTGTTATTTTACATATGTTTGTCTCAAGAGCTAGTGTTCTTTGTTCACACGTATGTGACTTTAGATAAATGTTCTTGTATATTGTATCTTGTATATTGTATCTTGTTATTGTATATTGTATCTTGTATCTTGTATATTGTATCTTGGATATTGTATCTTGTATATTGTATCTTGTATCTTGTATATTGTATCTTGGATATTGTATCTTGTATATTGTATATTGTATCTTGGATATTGTATCTTGTATATTGTATCTTGTATACTGTATATTTTATATTGTATCTTGTATATTGTATCTTGGATATTGTATCTTGTATATTGTATCTTGGATATTGTATCTTGTATATTGTATATTGTATCTTGGATATTGTATCTTGTATATTGTATACTGTATATGGTATATTGTATCTTGTATATTGTAGACTGTATATTGTATATTGTATCTTGTATATTGTATCTTGTATATTGTATGTATATTGTATCTTGTATTGTTACATTACAGCATACATATACCCAGCTATAACCTAAACATATGAACTTTGACAAATCATGATAACTCATTAATCACAATACTTTTAACAAAAAATTTGACATAATAAATTTAAAAGTATTTGGAGACACTGACCAATTGTTCATGGTTTTTTTCTATGTATTGCACTTAACGACAGAAAATATGGAAAACATCTCAAAATTTTTATTTTGAAATACTGGAAACAAGGAAATATTCGAATGTCTCAAATGTGTAATTAACTACAGTACCCGGAATGTGTATGTGCAAGTACTAGTGTTTGATTTCGTTAATAATGTATACCGGGAAATTTTCGCTGCAATTAAGTTTCCACCTTTCTGCCTTTCGTAGCGAGGGTGAACTTATCACTACAGCAATTATAAGTAAACAGCATAACAAACAGAGAAGTTAATGGTGAAGGCGGAATAAACACCGCGCGATTTCATCGGCGCAGGGCGAAAGTTTGACTGGGCGAAAATTTCCTGGTGTAAAGTATTTCACAAGTTAGAAATGTCATGTAAGTGAAATCATTAAAGTTCTGTAACACAAATGGAATACATCCACAAATATACGCTTCATTACCATCATTTCACAATCTGGACAGACATTTTTAATTACAGATATTGACAACAGTAATTGTACTCTCAAATCTAGAAACCAATTTTGGACCTGGGAGAGTTTCTTAAGGTCAATGATTATTTTTGGCAACAATTCAACACATTCTGTATAAATATGATCTCAAGTGCAAGGAATGTTAATGGCAAAGTTTTTGGTTCAACTTTCACAGACATGGTTCAATGACCATACATGCATGGTCAACTTTAACTCATTCAACCCTGAAGAACCATTTGCACTCTTCCAATTCAAAGGTTGGAATAGTTGATTATGAAATTTCAGGGGTGAATGAGTTAATTTGACACCATTCAGGTGTGAAACCACACTTGTGTCAGGATAAGGGCCTTTAACAAAGGTTTTTATACACTATCATAAAAATAAAAGACAAGAAAAGGTATAACATAAAAAGAAAACATATCATATTGAAGTCATATAAACTGCAAAAGTATAATAGTTTAATTTTCTGAAATTGTCAATCCCGATAAACAAGGTTCAACAGCAGACAAACTAGTGAACATATAAGATGTCTAAAGGTACACTTTGTCTTACCTAGAAAACCTTAAACAAGCAGTTTTTGTAATACTTAATCAATATTCATAGTAAATTATCAATGTGAGACAGTCTTGATTATCTTGAACAACTTGAAAACTGTTCAATTTTGAAGCACAAGCGAAGGGCCAAGATAGCTGTTGTTTCATTAAATCTCATTTTTCTTCAGATTTGTTTCAGGCTCACAAATCCTAAAATTTACTTAAAAAAGTCACATGTGAAAATAATATTGCACTTCTAAGAAAGAGACACAAAATTTTACAATACAAATCTATAGACACTGTCTCTGTAGACTAGTGTCTTAGATAAAAAAAAATCTATGGAGATCTTCATGTGTGCATATTCCTGAAAGCAGCCCTGCTCTAAGTGATTCTTTTTTGGTTCACAGGACAGGTTTATCATTGTAATACTAGAACATTTCTGTAAAGTTACAATTTTTCAGCAGCATCATCAATCAAGGTATTCATCATGTTATACCTAACTGGGCATCATTTAATAAAAGATTCAAAAACCTTTACTTAGCTTAGAAACTCAAATCATAATGTAATTAAGGATATAAAAATTAGATTGACAAAACCCAGAGAATTATTTTTAAACAATAAACCACTATAAAACAAACTTTTCATTAATAAATGACTCAGTAAATGATATTGGACACAACCCATTGCTGTAGTTGAGTCGGAAGACCAGTATGCAGGATGGATGCTTTAAGTTCATCTTTAAACCGCCTCCGCAGATAAATCCGTGTCATCTCTTTCAGCGTAAGGGGGTTGAGGCAGCGATACCGGAGATAATCTACAAGGTCTGGTTGCTTTTCCTCCAACACAAGGAACGAGCAAGCAATGAAGGCTTGGTCCCTGTGTACACAGTAGCCCTCTGACAGTAGGTACTTTATCATCTTGTAACTGCTCCTAGAACAGGCGATACTCATGGCAGAACTGTACTTATGTTTCTCCATTTCACAGCCACAATTCACGAGTGTTTGAGCATGCTTGACTTGTTCCTCCTGGACAGCTATGATGAAGGGTGTCTCACCACAATTATTGAATTTGTTGATTTCTGCTCCACTTTTAACCAGTAGTTTGATAATACGAGGCGATGATATCTGTACGGCATAGTGTAGGGCAGTCTCTCCCTCCGATGTAACTCTGCAACAAAAAAATACACATACATGTTCATATTTATAAACTGTTAAATGCTTACATCTGCGCGATATTTATTAGTGCATGAATTTGCAAGGAGAAACGATTTCTAATACACTCACATAGTAATAGGTGAATCTCTCAAAAATGCAGTCAAACATGATTAAAAGAGGACCATTCAGTATGTAGTTGTTTCCCCTCCTGCAAGTTCAAATCCTTGTAAATATTTTTTTGGGAAGAGTAAAGTCATGTTAAGTTAGGATGCATAAACAGTAGGTGATTTCCAGCAATTAAGGGTCACCTTCATAAAATGATAATCATGCATATACATTTTCACTGTATTTAACTGGCTAGTTAAAAAGTAAAAATCAAATAAATATAATTTGTCACAAAATACGTTGAATAAAAAATTCACTAATAAAATTACTAAAACAGTAACAGTATTGTCTATTTATCAGTTGACCTCCCAATACACATGTATTATGAATAACACCTGTCGGACATGTTTGAGTAGAGGTTTGGTTTGGTTTGGTTTGGTATTGTTTAACGTCTTATCAACAGCCATAATCATTTAAGGACGGCCCAGAGAGCTTAATATAGATTTGAGCTGATTTTAGAATAAACTCATTGAAAAAAGAGATATTGGTTCATAGTCATAAAAAATCAGTAATTGGCAGTTTATGAACTGGTCAGTTATCCTCCGAAAAACTGGATTTGTTACAGTTGATATATATGCTTTTGGTGGTGATTGGCCAGTCCATATACTGTCATACAGTCAACAGTACTATGTACATATAATAATATTTTTTAAATTATACTTTATCGTCAGAAACGAATGAAAACAACTGAAAAAACAAATATGACAGTTATCTGTAGTATGTGACAGGGGAGATTACTCATGTAAGAAAGTGGTCAAAACCCCTAGCTGGCAATTTAATAATTTGTGGACTCATTTTTAAATAATAGGAGATACTGTAAGAAGATGAAACTTAGTTACTTGTCAGGTGGAGCTCCTTTCTGTAGGAGTAAGTCAACCACATCTGTCTGCTCATGCAGAACTGCCAGGTGCAGGGGAGTGTGACCAGTGATGCGGTTGCCCTCGTTGATGCTGACGCCCTGATCTAAAAGTTCTAGGAGAGCCTCCAAGTTACCGTGTATCACCGCCTCATGTATCGGCCGGTCACCGTGTATATTAGGCTGTAGATCACAAAATATATCCAACTTACGAACACATGCTACCTTTACTATTATGCCACGAGCCTCCATTCAAAAAAGAGTTCCTTTCCATGAAAAATTAACTGAGGATGCATTTGAGATGTAAATAAGAATGCATGCATTAATGACACTCGTGTAATCTTGAATGTTTTTTAATTACACTAAAAGGAATCAAGATTAAGGGAGATAATCGAGATTGTAGAAACCTGTATAATCTGGACACCTTTATAAAGCAAATCTTTAAACTGAACCACAATTATATGTCTCATTTTATACACTGATATGTAAATCAAATTTTAGTCACTCGAACAACAAAAGATTTATTGGCAACATACATATATTGTATATATAGCCTATGACTAAGACAGATTTGATCATAATGTTTCTTGGTATTTTTGATGAGTGAAAAGCATGGTACCTTGTTTTTGTTGCAGCCCACCCTGACCAGGGTACGGATGAGCTCCCTGCTTCCTTTGGCACAAGCATGGAAGAACGGAGTCTTTTCCTCCTTATCTTTGTATTCTATGTCGGCACCATAAGCTACTAGCTTCTCTATTAACAGGGTAGATACACCACCTGGCAAAATACCATTTTATAACCGAGATTTGACTTCAACTTTTAAAATAAAACATTTCTTTTTAAGCAGCTAGATTACACATGTATGAGAGTCAGTATGCATGTAGACAAATACAAGTCCAATAGTTTACGGTCCACATACTAATATGAATATGGTATCTTAAGAGAACCAATCAAATACATTACAGTTAAACCCAGTATTTGATTTCAAATTCATTTTTTTAAATTTAAAGACTTTTTTGTTTAGAGTCATATACCTGTCAATGCAAGTTCTTAACAATGAAACAAGGGTCAGAGATGGTCAAAATGCAGGCCAAGCTTGCTGACTGAAAATCATTTCAGTACGTACATTATACCACTTGTTGACTTGCCCAAATGCAGTTAAATTGGCAGGTACATGTATGTTGTCAAGAGGTTTGAAAATAAAAGTAGTGTATTCCGAGGGTACAACATATGCAGGTAACAGATCAAGAATAAATAGACATATCACCCATCTACAGTTATTTTATGTATGAACATACATGCCCGTACTAAGTTTTTGTCAACATAGCAAATATGGAAAGATACATTCAACTCCTTGCCAGATGTTTGGCACTTAGGGTTTTCCATAAATGCGCATGTAATATAATCTTATTGATCGATGTATGGACAGACAAGGATAGAGCCTGTGTATTCACTGTCCATGGCTATCAATTTTTATAACATTATTTAATTATCTAAATTAAGGATCCATGTATCACTGCAGGAAAAACACTATAGAACTCAACTTTGTTTTTCTTTTTTGTACGAAACAGTAATCTCCTCTTATTTATATTTCTGCTATAACTGTAGCTCAATTAACTGGGTAGCTCAGCTGGTGAGATAGATCTGGTTTAACAATCTAAGGTCCAAGAGTTCAATATCCAATAGCTCACCTTGTTTACAAGCATACAGAAGAGGAGTGAGTTTCCTGGCAGACACAAAGTTGACATCACATCCTGGCATGACAGCGACCTGTAACACTCTTTCCACATCATTCTTCTTGATGGCGAAAAGAATCTGTTTGTTCATTCCCTCCATCTATCATAGTGTAGCACTACGCTGAATATAGTTCTTTTTTCCGTCTTCATTCATCTGCAATCTATTAAAATATTAAAACTTTGGTAACATGTAGTTATTAAATTTTAAAAATGCCTGATTACGAAAAGTAATTTTAGTATACATTTTTAACTCTTACTCTTAGTACATATATGTTATTAACACCTTAATCCACCCATTTTATTTGTACTATTGTCCAATTTTAACTCATCCTTAAACTGTCTGACTGTCATTCTGACCAAAGAAATTAATTTGCAACTTCATTTTCAAGTTGTTATATTATGATACATGAAGTAAAAATGGCGCAACAATATCATACTTTGCTAGATTGCTAGAATGCTAGATGTTTTGGTAACAAGTTGTTTTGGGAGTCTTGAAGACGTTTCGGGACATACACAAGATTTGATATAATAACCACTTCTGTAGAACTTCGTAACCTTGCATGCCAGCTGGCGCCTATAATGACTAAGAGTTCTACAACATTATCAATTGTGTGCAATCAACTGCTCCTATCCTAATACAACCTCGTGCCCGTGGCGGCATGGTAAGGCACAGTCTGAAGCTACTAGTGGAGAACCCTAATGGCAAAGAGTAGGAAAACCTGGTTTGAGGTAGACTTCAGGGTGATTTGAGACTGGGAAAGGGGAGAGTAAAGCATCAAGTGCGTACATGTACATTGCTCATGCTCCATGTAAGGGTCACAACATGGAATTAGCCTGCGTCCGTGGTGAGTCACCTTACAAGCTTCCCTTTGTATGTGTGGCAGGTTTTAATTGTACATAGGATTAAGGTTGCCTTCTAGCTTCAAGCTAGAAGAATTTCCCTTTTAGCTCAGTGGTAGAGCGTCCAAGTAGGAACTTGGAGATCGAGGGTTCAATCGCTGGTGGAAACGCACTTTTCTCTTTCCTGTGACACAAATTCTTTTAGAGAAGTTGCTACTTACCAATGTACAGCTTGATACCAATTGAAAAGCATCTTCTGCTTCTTCCAAGTCCACAATCATCACGTTGATTATAATGACATTTTTGTTTTTGGAGTGTACATGGTTAAAAATTGGTTAAAAACAGGATAAAAAGATGGAAATTAGGCAAGCGGCACAGATAACCGAGATCTGAAGACCTCTAGGTCATCTGAGGTGACAGTGTCAGCTGGTAAGGATTCCACTCCCTGATGGTGCGTGGGAAGAACGAGAACTTCCTGAAGTCACTACCACATGATGGAATTCGGAAAGAAAGGCTGTGTGAATCCATCGACAGTCTGCTGGGTGTAATAAGCATGTCGGAGTTGGTATACACGAGGTTGTGGTGGATCTTGAACAGCATACATATAGTATTGCTTGTTGTGTTACGTCTTTCAACGACGTCCAACCGTGGTGCTCTAGTAACCTGGTGACACTACCTGTCCGTCTGTAAGTGTTGGTGACATATCTAGCAGCCCGTCGTTGTCATTTCCAGCCTGTCAATGTCTTTCTGTTGGTTATAGGCTAGGGGTCCCACACAGTGTGTGCGTACTCCAAAACAGGTCTTACTAGACATCTACAATCCTTGTGTCACTGTGTCATGGACAAGGTTTCTATTATTTGCAAAAAGTAAATTTGCATATTAAGCATATTTTGTAGTCTTATAAGTTCATGCACATAACTATATAGTATATTGTAATGACAAATGTAACATACATACAGCTGTACAGTACACTGATCATGTGCATGGGCCTACGTAAGTTTTTAGCGTTTATCAGGATGTTTTCAGAGTAAACACAGTTTAATCTTCAACTTACATGCACAAATTTCCTAAAATAAGTTCTTTCAGAAAATGACATAGTCATAAAAACAAGAGTTTCTTGCGTTTTTCACTCTCAGAAAGAAAGGTCACTCCCGGGAAAATGTCAATAGAAATAAATTAGAAAGCATTCCTTGTGACATAAACGCTTCAATCTGTGTGCACCGCCTGGTCGTGATGAAGCGTTAAAAAGATCCAGACCAATCACAGCAATGGCCGCTACCATGTATCGTCTGCGAGGAAGGTGGTTAAGCCTTTTGGGTTCTGTTGTTAAAGATTCGCAGAGAGTAAGGTTTCATATATATCATTTTTTGATCAAAATTACAATGTTTTAGCCTTTGTACTATGACAACAAAATATCTAGCTTTCTTTATTTGAAATAACGATCGTTTCACAATGACATTGAGCAATTTACACTTTCCCGTAACCAGTTTTGACGGACATTGACTATTCAATTTTGTTACATTAAATCTCAAAACGAGATTATTTACTGCTATGGACCCTCAGTGCTTGTGAGTGTAAAATTGTTTAATTAAAAAATACATTTTGACAGATACTGTATATGGTAGCAGTGTACAGTAGCATACGGTGGCCATGGGTGATATTTTTTGTACAATGAATAACCCCTGTGATAAATACATATATAATATAAAAAAAAAAAACTGCGGTAAAATTGGCATATACATGATGAAGCGGACTATGTTGGCTTTATAATTTTTCAAAAATAAAATCGAATTTGGGCTACATTCGCGTATCCCGGTTGAAGGACAATTAATTGTTAAATTCCCCAGTTGTGTGCACTGTGCAGATGATGTTTGGACAGTATGCGCACTATGTGTGTGATCACACGAAACGGTACATGTGGCGCAGAAATATTCCACGATAAACGAACGCACTTGGACCATTCTTTAAGCAGAGCTAAAAATGCACATTATGCCCTTCTTTCAACCTTCCACCGAATTACATTACGTATCTTAAAAACTACATGTGACTTGACATTCTTTTAGAAAGAAATAACACAAACTATCAATATTCAGCAGTTTAGTTTCGGTCAGGTAAGTCTGGACCCCTCAATCTACACTTGCCAAATTTTCCTGAGGTCAGCCTCAGTTCAAATCTGTGCCTGTCGTTTTCTTTACAGGTTCAACCATTTCATCTGGATCGATACATGAATGTACCCTTGGTTTGAGACTAGGGCTATATTCGCATATCCCAGTTGAAATGGTACGTGTAGCGCAGAAATATTCCACGATTAACAAACGCATCTGGACCGTTCTATAAGCAGAGCTACATATAAAAATGCACAGTTTCGGAGAATAAAAAAAAAATGTATCAAGAATAGTATGCCCTTCTATCACGCATCCACTGAATTACATTACTTATCTTAAAAACTACATGTGGATTGACATTCTTTTAGAAATAAATAACGCAAACTAGCAATATAGTCAGCATTTTAGTTTCGGTCAGGTACGTCTGGACCCCTCAATCTACACATGCCAAATTTTCCTGAGGTCAGCCCGGTCCAGATCTGTGCCTGTCTTTTTCTTTATAGGTTCAACCGTTTCAACCGGATACGCGAATGTACCCTACATTTTTGGTCATTTATATTGCAAATCTGTGTCTACACAACAAAAGCTAGCTTTTCATGTAGTCTATTTTTGTACTCGGCACATGTGTAAATATTGAGAAAAGTCCAGTTGAATGACCTTTGCTAAAACGTGAGTATTTCTGTTACCGAGTAATTGATATTTAATTTAAGAAAGGTTTTTAAAAAAAAAACACTACTTGCGTGGGTCACATTTTTTTTATTTTTTTTTGCATATTTTGGTGTTTTTTGATGAAGTAACCATGGTTTTCACAAGTCCCAAATCTGGGAAAAACACTTTTCGAAAAAAAAATCATTCTTCTAAAATGAATGTATTCAAAATTTAGTTTATAAATATATGTATATATATGTAGGTGTGTTGTGCAGGATGAATCCACAATCCATGTTTATCTGAGACATGCCCTTTATTTTTAGGATCAAGCCATTTCTACTGTACTCCTGCTACTTATGTCTGGACACCAGACACACATGAATATGTTTATCTGTCAAAATGTGTGACTCTACTGTAGACTAGTTGGACGAGGAATATTACTGATAAAGATAGTGCCGTTGCTGGGGCTTGAACCCGCGACCCTTTGTTCTCCAGCCAAATGCTTTACCGCTGAGCTAAAGGGAAATTCCCTACAGCTGACACTTGTAAGGCAACCCCAAATTTACCAATGTTTTACCTTGATGAAGTTCGTTTGCTACCGTTTACTTTAACACCGGAAGTACACATGCCCCTTTAATATACCACATATTCGCCAAATCATGTAACTTTTATTTCGGATACTTGTATCACAGAAACAACATATTATTTATAATGTGGAAACACTTTTTAGGTTGCAAGACCATGTGTCGCAGCTCAGACAAAGATATGTCACAAAAGAAATTACTCTGGTGAGGTAAGTTATCAAGCAATACATACATTGACCTTATCTTCAATAAGATTTGTCTGTTTGGAAATGTGTGATATCAAAGTATTAATTAGCTTGACAAAGGGACCAGTCACTCATGAAATGTTGCGACACATTTAATATGTACATTGTTTGTGCAGAAAATAAAACTTTGATATCATACTTTGACCTATATATTATCACATACAATTATTATGAAAAAAATAATGATCTTTTCTACATAAGTATAACATGATATCATTATCAGATAATAATTTGTTAAACATATATGTAATTAAAGCATTTTAAAGAAAAACTTAAGAAAATCAAACCTGTGTGCCAACTTTAAAAAAACACCATTTGTTTGTTCTTTCTTTATGACTTTTATCAATATTGCTTTTTAAAGATGCATGAGCAACCAAGAAACCCTTATGTTAGGATATTATCCTTTAAACCACTTACCCATTTTAGAACCTTGCCAAATATGGTGGTAGAAATATGGTCACAGCTTTGACTGGAGATGGAGTTGGACCAGAGCTCATCTCTCATGTCCAGGAAATATTCAGGTAGGTTCACAGGAGTTTCATTTGTAGTGGTATACGTATAAGCCGGTAAATTTACCTTCCTAATACAGTTATTTCACCAGTAACTTTCATGAAAATATTAGAAGAAAGGTAATTAGGCATTATGAAATATTCTGAAATTAACTGGCTACTTTGTATTGAACAAACACAATTTGAAATCTTTTTGAAACGCTGGAGTTCATCAGCACAATGATTAATACAATGTACTTAAATTTGAACAATTTTGAAATAAGAAAAAACAAGACATGAAGAAAACAGCATGAATTTGATAATAAACATCCATGTTTGGTGTCCCAACAGATCCCTTTCGGGTATGTAGCATGTAACTGATTCCTTGGTTACTTTAAGTGACTGTATCACCCACAATTTGTAATTTTCTTAAAAAAAAAAGAAAAGAATGTAAAATTATCTTCTAGTATTAAAAACATTGCTCTAAAGGAAATTTTAGATACATAGTAAAGTATTTTGAATGAATACATCTTGGAATAACTGTATTTATGCAAAAAGTCCTGTCTTCAGTGTCTTGCGAGCTCTTTTTTCTATTTTTGTTTTTATAAATAGGTATGCTGGAGCTCCAGTTGACTTTGAGCAGATAGAGATCAATTCCAGCTCATCTGATCCGGATTTCTTAAAGAAAGCAATGCTGTCAGTGCAGCGGAATGGAGTAGCTCTAAAAGGTGACCTATAGAAAAAGTTAAGGTTGTATGCTACATACACCTATGGTTTGGGCTCAAGTTATCTCCCTTCAGAATATCTTTAATTACCATCAGCATTATTTGTTATATCAGATTTACCTTCTGTTTCAAGCATCTTAAAGAGTACTTTTGTGTTACTTATCACCATGGGAATGTCTTGTATTACAGCATGCTGCTCTATAACCCTTTCACCCCTATGTAACATTAGTAGACTCTACTATGCATTGATATGGATGAGTCCATTATTGTCTACAGAGGTGAAAGGGAAAGCGAATATTATGGTAAATACCCTAAACGTTATATCTGTGATTTGTGTAAGAGTTATTTCCCTGACAGAATATTAAGATACATATCAAAAAGCAATTTATCTAAACATTTAGTGTTGTGTTACCTGAATGTTAGATCATTCATGTACATTCTTGCAATTGTGTTTCCTGTGTGTTATGACACAATTAACCAAGTCAAAATTACCATATACAGTGTATCCGTGAAAGATGTTTTATAGTTTTCTTAGACAGGAACTCTTTTTGAATGGAGAATCATGATCAAGCCACAGTAATATAACCTGGAGCCTTAAAAATCATTATTTCTAAATGTGTTAAGTATTCCATTATAAATATTAAAGTAAGATCCTTGAATTATTATGATGCATGGAATCCTGACAGTTGCAAGACTATGGAAGAAAAAGAAATACTCCAAATATTAAAATAAAACCATGGAAAAGGATAGCTGAGAGCTCTACCTTAAATTACTACATGGTTACTAACACATGCATAGAGGTTCTGAATTTAAGAAAACATAAAGTATATATTCCAGACATACCTGAGATCTTATTACCTAGGGTAATATGTATCTGCTGTGAGGTATGATGATTTAGATAAAGGTTTAAGCTGTTGAATTTAAATAAAATAAGTCACAGAATTCCCCCCCCCCCCTCCCCTTTAATGAAATATAAAAAAGCCGTGATATTTAATAATTGTAATATAAGGAAACTCTAAGTTATAAATAGGGAATACATATATCCTTTTAATTTTTGTTTCAGGAAATATTGAGACAAAATTTGATGACCCTACTTTCAGATCCATGAATGTAGATCTAAGGTGAGACAGAAATTTAAGTCTTATGCTTAAATTGAATGATCCTAATTTGTCGTCTTGAAAAAGGGTCTTTTCTCAATAATTTGAAATTGTAAATATCATATAATTTAATCTTACATCTAAAGTTCTCTATTATTTGGATGTGTTTCATTGTTTAATGGTAAAATTATAGCTTTTAAATAAGTTATCTGTCGTGGACATGTGCTATTTGTTCAATAAAGGGTCCAGTTGGAGCTATTTGCCAGTGTGGTATGGTGCAGGTCTCTGTCTGGGGTACCCACCAGGCATAAGGATATAGACATTATACTCATCAGGGAAAACACAGAGGGCGAATACTCCAATCTTGAGCATGAGGTTTGTACATGTATATATGTGGTCTTTATTCTATGATAAATTGAACTCTGATCATGAGTGTTAAGCCCAACCACTTTTGCCACAGATTTTACAGATGTGGTTATATCTGGAAATGTATAGGTCATATTTGAAGTCATATTTGAGAATAAGCTTAGGTTTGAAAGAATTAATACCCCTTTGGATTACCATCCGTATAGTACAACAAAAATCGAGTCTATCATATGTAGGTATGGAGATAAGGAAATTCTACTCCCGAAAGTATCCCCATACCTACAATAGGATTAACTTTTTTTCTCTCACTTCTAACCTGGAAATGTAGGTGAAAATTTACAAAAGACATTACAAATACAGCAATAAATATAGTAGATATTCTAGATAACCTACAAATTAATCAAGAACTTTTTTGGAAAAAGCAGGAAAAAATGTGATAAAAAGGAGGCATAAGGTTCACAACAAGTCTGTTTAATGATATTTTATATATGTGAATCAGTGTTTATAGTTGCTGGGGACACCACTGCCATAGTCACTGAAACAATGTTTTGATGGGCATTTAATTGGTATATGTCATAATCATGATGATATAACTTCATCTTCTGATTGTGACGTCATATTTGTAACAGTAGTTAAGTCCCCCATTGCTTTATATACATATCTCATAGGAACTCAGTTTTATACACATGTATCTCATAGGAACTCAGTTGTATACACATGGCTCTCACAGGAACTCAGTTTTATACACATGTATCTCATAGGAACTCAGTTTTATACACATGTATCTCACATAGAAGTGGGAGGAATCAAGATTGAACTCACATGTACAAGACTAAATCATGATGTCAACCAACACCGGATAAGTCTATTCCTATAAAATGTATCTTTTTCGCTCATAGATTCCATTTTTAAGGGGCTAAGTACAAAAGCTTAGATCTAGAGTGACTTGACATTAATTATACATGTCCAATTTAATAAAATGTAACTTTGTGCCTCTCAGATCAATGATGGTTGTAAGCATTATTTTTACCATTTTAATTTTAAGGAACAAAACATTAATTTAGGTTTTTGGCTAGTAATGAAATATTGCATGGATAAATTCCTCTTTGTTTGAAATAAGTCTTGTGAACATGTAAATGTATGAAACACAATGCCTATCAATGTGTGAAGACTTTCAATGTATGCATTTAAAAGCAGACTTCAATATTTTCATTTAATTCATTTTATAACATGAAATGGCATTTACATTTAAAGGACTGTGGTTATTTATGTTCTAGAATGTCCCAGGGGTTGTGGAAAGTCTGAAAATAATTACTGCAGAAAAATCCACAAGAATTGCCAAATATGCATTTGATTACGCTGTACAGAAGGGACGGAAGAAGGTGACAGCTATCCACAAAGCGAACATAATGTGAGTCGGTGTGCAATGTATACCAGGACATACTCACCGTTGTTTAACTTTTGCCTTTTTCGTCCTCCCCAATGAGGGCAAATTTATCTGACAGCAAATATTAGTACTCAACATGCAATATATAGTTATCACATATGCATGTGATTCGGGAAATTGAATTTTGTCGGCCAAAGGCAAATATTTGACTGGTCGAAAGTTTCCCAGTATATAGTTTCAAAAAGATAATTTGGAAATTTATTAAAAACAAAAACAAAAATAACAGGGTTAAATTTATTGATCAGAGCTTTAATATGACAATGAAATTTTACTGATGATTTCCATATAAAGTTGTGAGAAGTGAATTACAGTATTACTAACAAGACTGTTTCTACATTTTCTTGAATAGGAAGCTGGGCGATGGTCTGTTCCTGGAATGTTGTCGCCAGGTTGCCTGTCTTTATCCTGACATTGAATTCAGTGACATGATTGTAGACAATGCCAGCATGCAGGTGAGTAAGCTGTTAGGGAATGGAATAACCATGATTGATTGTGCTGAAAATGTATGTAGAATTGGTTATTTTATAATATTTTATAATTATTAAGATTTTCCCCAAAACGATGCAGATGTAACAAATGAATCTGTTTCTAGCAACATTTAAATAGCTCTACAAATGTTCACTAGGGCTTGATTACTTTAGACATACAACATTTTAATAGCTCTACAAATGTTCAAAAGGGCTTGATTACTTTAGACATACAACATTTAAATAGCTCTACAAATGTTCACAAGTGCTAGATTACTTTAGACATACAACATTTAAATAGCTCTACAAATGTTCACAAGGGCTTGATTACTTTAGACATACAACATTTAAATAGCTCTACAAATGTTCACAAGTGCTAGATTACTTTAGACATACAACATTTAAATAGCTCTACAAATGTTCACAAGGGCTTGATTACTTTAGACATACAACATTTAAATAGCTCTACAAATGTTCACAAGTGCTAGATTACTTTAGACATACAACATTTAAATAGCTCTACAAATGTTCACTAGGGCTTGATAACTTTTGACATACAACAGGCATTAAACCTGTGTGGTGTATGATATATACGAAAAAAATGTGAAATTACAAAAAAATATCTATTATGAAATTGCTAGCAACAATGACAGAAGGTAAAATAATAAATTTAACAGTGATAAGAATAGGGATTTATTTCCTTTTTCTACATAATGTTGAGACAAAGTTTAATATTTTTTTATACATAATTAGTTCAATTATATTGATGATAACTCCAAATCTTATATTCATGCCAAATATGATTTTTAGCTCACCTGGCCCGAAGGCCCAAGTGAGCTTATGGCATGGTGCGGCATCCGTCGTCTGTCCGTCCACCGTCCGTCCGGCGTCAACTTTTTACTTTAAACAACTTCTTCTCAGTAACCAAAAGACCTAGGGTGATGATATTTGGCCAGAAGCATGCTTGGATGAAGGGCTACCAAGTTTTTTCAAATAAATGACCTTCATCAACTTTCAAGGTCACGGGGTCAAATATGTTAAAATCTTTAAACAACTTCTTCTGAATAATCGAGAGGCCTAGGGTAATGATATTTGGCCAGTAACATGCTGGGATGAAGGGCTACCAAGTTTGTTCAAATAAATGACCTTGACTTATATTAAAGGTCACAGAGGGCAAATATGTTTAAAATCTTTAAACAACTTCTTCTAAATAACCAAGAGGCCTAGGATGATGATATTTGGCCAGTAACATGCTGGGATGAAGGGCTACCAAGTTTGTTCAAATAAATGACCTTGACTTATATTAAAGGTCACAGGGGTCAAATATGTTTAAAATCTTTAAACAATTTCTCCTGAATAATCGAGAGGCCTAGGGTAATGATATTTGGCCAGTAACATGCTGGGATTAAGGGCTACCAAGTTGTTCAAATGAATGACCTTGCCTTATATTCTAGGTCACAGGGGTCAAATATGTTGAAACCTTTAAACAACTTCTTCTGAATAATCTAGAGGCCTAGGGTAATGATATTTGGCCAGTAACATGCTGGGATGAAGGGCTACCAAGTTTGTTTAAATGAATGACCTTCATCCATTTTCAAGGTCACAGGGGTCAAATATGTTTTAAACCTTTAAACAATTTATTCTGAATAACCAAGAGGCCTAGGATAATGCCAGTAACATGCTGAGATGGTGGACTACCAAGTTTGTTTAAATGATTGAACTTGACATATATATTCAAGGTCACAAGTGTCAAATATGTTTAAAAAAACATTGAATGACTTCTTCTTAATAAACAAACGCCAAGGGTGATGATATTTGGCCATTAACATGCTGGGATGAAGGACTACCAAGTGAATGACCTTCGCCCAAATTCAAGGTCACAGTGGTCAATATATGTTTAAATCTTTAAATGATTTGTTCCGTATAACCAAAAGGAGCATGCTGGGTTGGAAGACTATAAACTCTGTTCAACCTAATATCCTTGTTCGACATTCAAGGTCACAGGCGTCATATGTTTAAATCTTTTATTAGGTTCTTATGAATCAAACACTGATATTCTGCCTGTAGCTGTATTTTAGCCCACTTTTAAGATAACAAGTGTGAGATTGATACCCGGTGAGCGATGCAGGCCCATTGGGCCTCTTGAGTTATATAGTAAGGTAAATTGTAATTAATGTTATGATAAAAAGAATGTTAAAATCATTTCCTTTGTGTGTGATTAATATTTTCATGAGACAGATTTCAACAATTGGGGAAACTAGAAATTTATTATATTTATTGTACGAATCAGAAGTCACAAAATTTGAATGTATACAAACCCACAAACTTTAAATATCACATGAGTTATAATATGTCAAAATAATTAACTGTAATCTGCCGGGTGAAGATGGGAAAAGAAGTTAGCACTGTGGCATACATGTAAAGGAATTTAACTTCAGATGGTGTCCCGGCCGCAGCAGTTTGATGTGCTGTTGATGCCTAATCTGTATGGAAACATCCTAAGCAACATTGCAGCAGGCTTGGTAGGGGGCCCAGGGGTCGTGCCAGGTGTCAACATTGGACGGGATTATGCTGTGTTTGAAATGGTAAGGAGGCTGAAAAATACTAAATCCCTTAGTTTTAAGAAGTACTCATTTTCTTGATTGCAAATTATAATACATTGTATTTGTAAATATATGAGGATCCTTATCATAACAGAAATAAAGTAAATTATTATTTCTCCTGTCTTTGTTTCATTATTAATTATGAACAAAACTTGTTTTCATCTGTTAAGGGCACAAGGAGTTCTGGCCGCTCTCTGAAAGGCAAAAATGTGGCCAACCCGACAGGCATGTTGCTTGCAAGCTGTGATATGCTTGACTATTTAGGGTAAGGTTTCAACTGCTTTGTATATTCAAGGCTGAATTTTAAAACATTGTATATATTATACATATGTAGATATGTATATTCAACACTTTTTTTGTGTCAACTCCAATAATTTTTGTGTACTTTTTTAATCTTATAGATATACATGTATACCTATTGCTGAGATACTATTTTGTTAAATAAAATGCAATATCAAAATATATTTCTGACTTGAGGTATTGAAGAAATTCAAAAAAATATAAATCATCTTTTTAGGACTGGGATGTTCGACTAGATTAATTGATATGTCATTTGAAAGGTATGGAAAATATTTTATAAAGGTGATTTTAAAACTACAACAAATAACAACGACATGACACTGGTAACAAAAGAAATGTTGATATCATAAACGTGTGATATTATCGTAAGCTATTTGAGCTGATATTTCCTGATGTCTCTATGTTGATAGCAACATGAGTAGATCTAATAACAATAGCTTGGTTACGTTAAAATTGTTGAAAATTTGACAAATTTTCTTATCATGTGAAGTTTTGATATTGTAGACACCGGAAACATGCTGAAATGATAAGAGACTCTGTGATGTCAGTCATGAACGAACAAAAGGTATAGTCTAAGTTAAACACTACAGACTGTTATAAATGTAAAAGATGAGCGGCAAATATTGGTGACAATTATACTAACACATTAAGGCACTCTAACATTTCATAACTTTCCTATTGAACATTTAGGAGGATTTTAATTTATGAAAAGAATTTAAAACAGTTTTTAATTGTGTCTTAACAAAATATTCACAAAATGTTAAATTCATGATAATGGAAATAAAAGTTTTAAAACATTGTATCAATCAAATTTGCGGTCAGACATGTTTTTGAATCTCAAGTTTCCATGATTGTTACATGAATATTTTTTTTTTTATGATATTCAAATTAGGATTTAGTTTAGAAAATCAATCAGCAATACATAGGTATATGTTGTAGATAAAATATATACCCGCCTGGTTAATTTTGTAGATCCACACACCAGACCTGGGAGGTCAGGCAACCACTCTGGACTTAATACACGCAGTCATTGATGATCTCAAACCGAAGACTCAGAGCTGGTAAGGCTTCATTTTAATATCATAACTTGTTTTTGTTTTTAACTTTTACATATTTTTTCAAAGTTGTGAGATGGCTATTTATGTTATGATTTATCTATTTATTTATTTTTTGTTTCCATATTGTGATACAAATTTATAACTCGGAATCTGGTCCAAATCAAATCCTATTCCTTGTTCCTTTATGATACATTGTGGTGTAGGACTTGACAACACTGTAACAGGTGTCGTATTATAATGACCTTTTATCCATGCAATATACAGGTAATATTATTTTAAAACATGACTTTTGGTATCAAAGTGTCACATTGAATAACTACAATAAATGATCAACAGATTACGACTGATGCAATGTTGTCAGGTCCTACACTGTAGAATCTCATAGAGGCACTGAATAAAGGATTTCTATTTGATTTTAATCAATAACATATTTTGAGAACTTCTTTGTCAATGAAGTGTGACAAATGAATACTTCAGTCTGATTTAACAATGTTTGTTTTCTTTGAAAAATGTAATTAGTTAATAATTCTTGCAGAAATACAGAGTTTGATAATTGGCCTGGGTCAAGAAAAAAACTGTATCTGTGAGAATGTGGTCTCTGAATGTTTTGTGATTTTTGAATAGGATTTATTAATGTGAAAAGATTGAGATTTGCAATACTATGTAAATGATTTTTTTTTTATTTTTTTTATTTTTTTTTTACAAAATTATTTAGGTTATTTAGTTGTTAGAAAGGGAGACACCCATTTTGTTTGATAATGTTTTCTTGATTGAAAATATTATGATATAACTATAAACAAATAGTTCAATTTTACAATTGTTGTGTTTATAACTTAGTTGTGTTGTATTTAGAAACAATTTAATTATCTTTCCATTGTATTTTCTTCTTTATTGCATTCCAGTGAATCCTGTCTAAACCAAACACAATATTTGGAATATTATTTTTGAATTGACAGGATTTCCAGATAACACAGGAAAAAAATGAAAAAATATCAAGTGGGACCTACATTATTTCATTATAAAAGTTCTGGTTTATACAGGTTTCCTTATAAAGTTTGTGGTTTAGACAGGGTACATAGGATTACAAAAGATGAAAATCTGCTTGTACAGACATGATTTGCTGAATTGTGTAGCTCACGAATAATGATTTCTTTGTTCATTTTTACATTTTATTTACTAAGCTATAGAAGCACTGACCGTAGATGGGGTTTGCAACAGCTTTGATACTTTGCAAGATATGAACAATAATACAGAATGTTTGATATTAAACTCATTGCTACCAATATTACTGTGTACAATGGTATTTTTCCAAGCAATACTCTTTTCACATGGAAATGAATCTGCAAAATTAACATTAAACTGAACATTTCAGTTTCAGTATTACAAATCTGTAATTTCTTCATATAAAGTTGTGAAAACACTGCAGGATATCCAAGCTGTAAATAATAGTATTAGCTTTCAGTTGTGAACTTTTATGAACATTTATAAACATTTTACTTTATTTATGATTTTTAGGAGCTTCAGTGTTGCCAAAAATGTGTACACTAAGAGATAGAGGAGGTTTCAGCATGGTATGCTTTTAGCATATAGAAGATCATGTACATTTATGTAGTTAGATATGCACATACTCGCAGCAGCTTATTCCTGTTAAAATGACCTGGAAACATTTTGCCAATACATGTCTTTTCCTTTGAAACAGACCAGTAGAACATGTTTGTAGGTCTAGGCTCTTTATTAAATCAGGGAAAAAGTCACCTTCTGGAAGCTTTCATTTTCCAGGTAGGAATAAAGTTATATTAAAAAACGATCACCATACAATTAGGTTATAACATGGATACTGGCGAAATTGATACTAAAAGTCAAGTTAACAAGAACTGAGGACACAAAAGAAAAGACATCATACACCCTTACAAAAGCTGGAGGTAACACCAGGATCGCTAATTGGACATATTTGGCCGAGTTTAACTGTGTCACATATTATAAATGATGTACTCCATATCATGCCATGTCATGAGTTCAGTAATTCAAGTAGGATTAATGATAACTTACTGATTTAGCGGAGCTGCTGGGAATGGCTTAATGGTGATTATTCAGGGAAAGACTGTTTATTTCAACTAACAGTAATTCTTCATTTGTGTATGGAATTAATGATGCTCTATTTATATATCCTTTTCATATCAACAGTGGTTGGTTTGGGATATATATATGCCACACTACGTATACCTAACATTGTGTTCAACACACCTTAAGGGTTGGGATAACCTATCACCACCTGTTTTATTAAAATAAATCCAAGCTATCATTTTCTGATCTACCTTTATTACTCCTCTTTCTATTAGATTTTATGAATTAAAATTTGTTTTGCTCTCTGCACCCCTTGCATATGTCATAGCAAATTTGAAGGCTCAGTGTGTGCCGTCTTGATCCTTTGATGTGCAAGGTGCAGAGAGCGAAAGTGAGCGAAACCCCTGGAGTATCGAGTATGACACTTTAGTTACTGGTATGAGGAGTAATATATTTTGGTGTATGAGAGTGTTCTTTCGTAATTTATGGTCATAACGTAGTACACGAAATTGTTTGTAATTCTATTTAAAGTGTAACCAGCTGTCTACAATGCTAAGCAGCATGCATAGATTTCAAGTTAAATTTTATCTATTAAGAGATATTTCTTAATTTGAATAATTACGTTTTCAGAATTAAATATTTCAACAAAAGAGCCCACGGTGTAAGTTGTTTGGCTTGCATTGTTGTATTACTTGGCTAAGTATTAGTGACTTGATACCTTGTGGGTGTTATTTACACTTGTATTATAAACTCTTGAGTTACATATTCTTTCCTGTATTGAAATGAGGCTCGTTAGATGATTATTGGTTTTCAGAACCACCCCACTAATAATCCTGTTCTGGCTAGATAATTTCAAACTTGTATGCGAATGGAGTTAATTTGCATGTAAGTTTGGTTTGGTGTTCTGAGTGGAATTTCTTCCTGAACCCAATCCTCTAAAAATTATCAAGTTTTGCTAATTTGTGGTAGGGAATATAAGTTATTTAAGGCCGATTATTAAGTTCTTTGATTGTAAAAGTTTGACGTTTAAATTGAAATAGTCCCCAAAACAGCCATGTCGTTACCATGAAAATGAGAATAAGTTAACGTGTATTATCAGTTCATCTGGTGAGTAAAATAAGTTACTCAAAATAAGTAAAATACAGCATAATTACAAAAAGCAGCTTCTGGCCCTTTTATTTTTGCATTTTCCAGCTATTAAATGATATCTGCATTTGCATCGACTTGCAGAAAGGAAAGTAGGAATACATATTTCCCAAAACAGTGTCTTCGGTCTAGACGGTACATAGATCCAGGGATATTGTAACAGTTAAATGACCTCTGCTTTCCTTTTCCGCTTTCCTTTAAAAGTTAAAAACTTGTCAAAGGAGATACTCACCTTTACCTGTTCTGTTTTCAAGTAATGAATATCTCGACAATTGTCCGTTTTGTGTATAATCTTAATTGGTAATGGTAGAGTTGAAACATTCTATGTTTACACAGTCAGGTACATTTAATTTGGTGTATTAGTTTTTGATATTGTGACAGAAATATTCAAATGCTACCTTTACCTTGTCGTCTCAAGAATAAATTATATGTTAAAAAGATATTCCAAATGGGAAATTACCCTCTAAAGATACAAGTAAAAATAAAAGTTCAACATCAACTGCAATGACTATTACGTTTGTTTGGGGGCTGACGCTTTAAATGTATAATGGAGACTATTTTATAGAATGGGAGTGATTGTAAATATTATTAAAAACTTGTAATGTAAACCTCACGATTGGAGGATAATAAACGTGTTACGTTGTTTGCTCCCAGAGTCCGGTGTCTCTGTATGCTCTAATCAGGTAATGAAAGCGAAAGCTGAACCATTCGCCATTTGTTTTAATTCTTGCTTCAATTAGAAAAAATTACTATGTTTTGTCGTACATTGTAGTTGCGCCAGATATTTTTTTAGATAAATGCGAGTTTCTGGAATTTCCTGGAATTTCCTGAAATGACGAGTAATTTTTCTAATTGAAGCAAGAATTAAAACAAATGGCGAATGCTTCGTTCACAATCTCAAAAACTGAGACACAATGGACTGTGGAAATATGTTAGACTTATTTTGAATGTGATGCAAAATTTATAAAATTCTTTAAAACATGTTTAGAAAATCATTTACTATGCTATCGCACGGGATTTCCTCATACTTTTTAAATCTGTGGTGATTGAGTGCAGCTTGCTGGGTATATCATATAACCAAGCGATATTATTAAACGGAAAACTTCCTTAAATTAAGTTTGTTTGGGGGCTGAAGCTTTAAATGCATGATGGAGACTATTTTATACGATGGGAGTGATTGTAAATATTATTAAAAACTTGTAATGTAAACCTCACGATTGGAGGATGATAAACGTGTTACGCTGTTTGCTCCCAGAGTCTGGTGTCTCTGCTCTAATCAGGTAATGAAGGCGAAAGCTGAACCATTACTTGTGTACTGTACAGAGTTCTTAGTACATATTTTGCCCAAAGCATGTAATCTCTAATATCAAACTGACATTTTAAAAATAGATCATGCTTTAATATGTGAACGCTATAGACTTCTCCATAAAGAAAATACACATACCAAGCTTGCTATTTGCTAGTTTTAACTGCTTCACACTATCAACGTTTTTACCTCTTATGTGATGTGATGAATTATTTGCATATTTATATACGTATTACTCTTGTTTACATTACACAGGTAGCAGAATTTTCAATGGTAATTTACTTTGACTTTAGCTGACCGGTGCTGGGTGATAAACTTTACTGCAACTAAACTAAACACATCGTTTGATTACTCCCAATACTCTTATTTTCGCTTTTCTCTAACTTTAGTAGTCTATATATACCCATATCGCTAATTACAGTAGTCTATATATTCTATTATTATCTAATCGCAGTAATCTTACAGATTTCACTAATTACAGTAGTCTATATACATACTTATATCATCAGTTATCTATCTATGAACGCTTTCTCTAACAAAAACGGCGTATCCACGTGCACGTTGTACGCGTATTGTTTACTCTTCAGTAAGTATCGTATACGTACCTACTAACTACTGAAAACCTAGTTTTCATGGGCGGATTCAGGTTGGGGATTCTTTGTGTAGGATACTCTCTTGTAAATTATAAGGGGAAAGCAAAGCGTGAAAGAGACAAAGATGATAAAAGGGAGAGAAATGAAACGACATAACCCGAAAAGTCTTGTTAATCATAAACCTATACACCTTCACACTCAATCAGGGGAAGTAACTTTAGCAAACCAAGAAAAAATATCGACTCTCTTTCCTGGATCCGCCCTGGTCTTGAGATGTATTATGAAATACAGTGGCGGATCCAGAGACCTATCTAGGGGGGTTTCCAAATTTCCTGGGGGGGTTTCCATGTGGGGAAAAATAGAGGAAAATGGTGAAAATACATGATTTTTAAAGAAAAATCTCAGGGTGGGGGGTTTCCTGAAGCCCAAAAAACCCCTCTGGATCCGCCACTGAAATACGCACACATTTATATGTTATGAATTATAATGATATTCAAAGACGCCTTTAGATGAAATATACAAATCACCTGTAGAAGAATATAGTTTGTGGTTCAGTTTTAACGTTTTTAGCTTTTAACACAATCCAAATATAGCAAAACTTGCTATGCGAAATATGATTACAAAAGAAACCAACGAAAACAGAGAGTAAATATATAGCGAGTGCATTTTCATTTTCTCTTTGGAATATGTGGTGATTCAAACCGTAAAACAATACTTAAGCTCAGAATTGATATCGAAAACAACCATATTAATGGCAGGATATATCCTATTTGTTTTATTAGGTATCAGTTTTAACATACATGTAACTTGTAATGAATGATGACTACATCAAATGAACTTATTTTATGCGGAAAAAAAGTATGCAAAGGTAAACGAAAATGTTTGGAATTAAAACTGTTTTGATAATGGTGAGTTTAATATTCATAATTATAAATAATATTTCGCATTAAAGCCTCTCATTTAACAATAATGTTTACTCTGTATCGAATTATCACATTGAAAAAATCGGTATTTAATGTATTTAATCTGTAACGATGATATCATTCATTGGTAATTTATTGATTTAATTGTGAAATAGGCAATATACTTTGAGTGAAGAAAATGCTATACTGGTAAATATATTCATGTAATAAGTTACCATTCTCATATCGTAACGTTTGGTTTCGTTTCTCTAGTTTTTGAAGAAGAAAAAAACCTTGATTAAGTTGTAAAATATTATTATTACCCCAAAACCCCATAACGAATTCTGATATCTTACCTGTATAATGTTTTGTATATTTTTAGGATTGAGAAGTAGATAACCAAGGTCTCGCCAAACAACATTAAGGTAGCTTCAATGACTAATAAACACCCTCTCCCATTGTATTTCGTAACATAAGCATAAGCTAAATAATTATTTACCTCTAGCATGTTTTAAAATCTAATTTCAAGAATTTCTTATGCGCCGTTCATGAATACTGTAGTTGTAAGCACTTTATATGATGAACATCGAGGCTAAGCATTTGACAAGACCTTCGGATTGAGAAAAAAGTTCAGTCTTCAAGTATTATATGATAGTTACATTGCCACGTGCCTTTTTGATTCGTTTCTTTTATATTTCCACAGAATCTCTTAAACGAAGAAAACGTTGCCTTCTGGATAAGACTTGAGCGATATAGCTACAGATAAACCATGGATTACGGGTGGACTAAGTTTTGACTGGGAAACAATTTTCAATTTTAATAAAAAAAAACTTTCAGACGTACATGCATATATATTTCACAACAGAATAAGTCTAAACGATTCAATATGTTATTTGAGTATTTTATTTCAGTTGAAATATAAACTGCCTCTCGTAATAGGTGCAATATAAGTGTTCCTTGTCCTTAAAAGTGCTGTACATGTATATGTTGATTTTACACAATGCGAGAGGTTTACTGAAAATCCATTCAGCAATGTCGAGCGAGTTAAAAGATTTCTGTCATACTTAACTCTCTGACCGTGAAACTTTTACCGATAGCAACTAGATAGTATATTTATGATGTAGAATGTGAAACTTATCATTTGACGTAGTGTCTACTGTTGCGGTCAGTAGGATTGGAATGTTCCTTCGTTGGTTTTAGACGTTCTGTTTTAAATACATGTATATGCATTTGTATATTTATTTGTCATTAAATGATTAAATTAAACACGTACTTTTTGTTTTTGGAAGAAGAAAATGACGAATAGTCTCAATTCAGTTTATCCTCTATACAGTACAAAGTATAGAGAAACATGTTTACAAGATAATTTACAATATAGTTGTTCATCAGGTAAGTCACACAATCACAATCTTATCAATGTTATTCAAATAATTCATATCATGGAGGACAGATATTACTAAATATTATTATTATAAATGCATATTGGGTTTTCAATGTACGAACATGTTTGGAATTCTTCAGTTCGTTAAACTTTAAAATGTTAGGTCTTATATAATAGTACTTATCTAAATAAGTTTTTCTGAATTCAGTTAGTTACAATATGGCAAATTCTATTTTGACGGTCAATGCTATTCCATCTTTTGGTTTCAAAGATAAATTTGTGATTCGTTATTCTAAATTTGCACAGAACATGTCTTTCGTTACCAGTTAAAAGATCTGAATAATCTTCAAACTTGCACTGTTCTTTACACGTTCTCCCAATTTTGAACAAATTTGTTATAGAGAAATTGTTTAACATTTAATTTTAACCAGGAAGTCTTCAATTCTTCGAAATGTGCATTCCAAATGTAAGTTAATTCACAATCATTTACTATTTGTTGGATATAACTTAAATAGCAAATTATACATATTTACATTTAATTTACACTCTTTGGAATTAATCATTTGTGACCAATACGTTATCATTCTGGATTTCACTGAAAAAGATAATTGACAGGTGCCAAGTACTCCATTAACCATATAAGAAGGTGTACTTCTCTTGAGCCCTAACAGTAATACCAAAATCTCACATCTATACAGTATTATGGGTTTTACAGTCTTATCAAATAAATCAAATATACACTAAATAGAAAGATTATACAGTCTACCTTTCTTTGACAAGCTCGATCTCTTCATCGTCAAAAGTAAATGCAGTTCTATGATGCAGACGGCCCTCTGTAAAAATCTTACGTTTCGTTTTTCTCATGTTAACTTTCAATCTCCATTGTCTACAATATTCACTGAAAACGTTAAGCTGCAGTTGTAGATATTTAGGGCAGTCGGAAAAAAATAATCGTATCGTCTGCATACAATGTAAACCCTTAACATTATTACGAGTCATAAAATCTCATGGTCGTTTAAGTATAAACTGAATAAAAGGGAGATACATTTTATCCTTTTCTCAAACCGTTATCACATGGGAAAAACGTAGAACTTTGACCATTAAAAGTTATCTTAGACTTAATGCCTTGGTACATGTTGTATATGATAGAATACATTTTGCCATTAATGTTCAATAACATTTTGTTCCACAGTCCATTCCTCCTAACTTTATCGAATCTTTTTCGAAATCAATGAAAATGCAGTGAAGTATTTTTTCCGTCATATTAGTAAGATTATTTTATGAGCACAATACAAAAATATGATCAATAGTTGATTGATTATTCCGAAATCCAGCTTGGTTTTCACATATCAAATTGTACTCATCCGAGTAACTCAGAAGTCTTTCGTTCAAAACAGCAGTAAAAAAATTACCACAGCAGCTAACAATAGTCTATAATATTTTGGGTCTTTAGACGACCCTTTATTCTTAAAAATTGGAACAATAGAGCCCTGCCCTTAGCCAGTTCTCTTGAAGTTTTCCAGTGCTAAAAACCACATTGAACAGTTTAACATATACATTATATGTACATCTATCATTTTAAATGCAGAGTGTGTTATGTAATCGTTCGCTATGTGATCCTCTGAACAGGCCTTGCAATTTTTTAATAAATTTATAGCACGTTCAAACTCCTCTCTTGTTATCTCCCTATTTAAAACATCATTAGCAGTTATCAAATTTACATCAGTATGGTTATAAGGGGTATCACCAACGTCAGCATTAAAATCTTTAAAACAATCAACAAGCAGATCAATTGATATATTATTTTTCTTTTTTTCTGTCTCCAGAACATTTTAAAAGTTTCCAATAATCTCTAGGATTATTACTTCGCATTTCTTTCATTTTACGTCAAAGATCTTTTCTAAAACGCTTAATGCTATTATCCATTGTACATTTATATGCTTTTTCTGACCCTTTGTATTTCCTTTGAAAACAAACATTTTTATGACGTCGGTATTGCCCTTTACAACGTCGACACAACGTTCTAGCTTGTCTACAATCGCCATCAAACCAAGGGTTCGAACTCCTATTCGACTTCTTGTAGTTATTAGTAGTCTAAGACTCTTAATATTTAAAGGGAACTATTCACATCAATCTGATTAAAATCAAAGTTAGCTCGTTTGCCGGCTTATTCCGTGAATTACACTATAGCTTTTACATAGAAAACCAAGAGGAAAACAAGAAAAGAGTTTAGAAACACATCAGGCATTACGTTTTCATGTTTTTGTGTTACGATGCACATGTTGGATGTAAACATACCATATGGTATGTATTCGGTTGTCATCACCCATATATAATATTTTACCTCGGGTTTCCCAATTTATTGAGACCTGGGGACTGTCTTTTCTTTTTGTAATTTTCTGTTCTCCCTTAGCTCATTTAATTAATGCATTATCAGGATACTGTTGTTCCAAAGCACACCTGGTTACGGCGTTTTCAGACTAATATGACTGGATGAGATTTCGTTTTAAGGAGTCTAAAATATGATATGTTAATGTGGTGGAACTTTAAAGCTAGCCACAACCAATAGTTACTGTGGTAAAAATGTAAAACTCTAAACAAACAGAAACAAATTCTCCAAAACGGTGTATTTTTATTGCAGCTAACATATGCATATGGAATCAGGACACTAAAATTGTTGAAGTGCTGACGTGAAGTATAGCTTTTTGAGATTTACACCAATTCCTCTGTAAAATGATCAGATACAATAACATGTTTAAATAATCCCGTAGCTTAGTTTCTGCTCAATTCGTTTTGCACTTCACATTTTTGTTGTATTTTATATAAGAGTTGCGTCCCTTGTAATGCTGACGTATTGGTAATGACGCTTCGTTGTGAAATAGCCTAGATACCTGTTTATATACATAAAGTGTACACATAGTCCTATATTCACTTACGTGCTAGTCGGTGAACAAACGAAGGATAAACTTAAGGTATTCGATTGTAGGTAAGTGTGTTCACTAATAACATCGAAAGTTATGTAGATCTACCCTTATAACGTATATGAACACTGATAGTATTGTGTAGGGTCAATTGCCTATATATAGCTACACCGAAGCCTTAATATAGGTTTACGTTAGAATTTAAACTACACATGTGCGTTATCAGGCATGTAACACCGGCAAATTGTCAGTTTGTTATTAAGACATACAGAAATACATTTATTTATCAATTTACGATCAAACAGTGACAGCTGACATAAACTATTTCTTTTGTTAAAAATTACACTAGAACGAATACTGGCTGGATGAATACATGTAGGTAAAGATTCATAGTTATATCGTTTTAGAATATTTAAATTTACATTCTAAAAACGATATTAGGTATTATTCGCAGAGGGTAGTTTGTACATTTGTAACGGATTTGGGAAAAAATAGCTTAATTAAAATCTGTGAATTTTTCTCCCAAAATAGGTCTTGTATGAACAAAGGCGGCAGCATAAACAGTCCTTAGGTACTCACTAAAGTTGATGTCATTTGACAGTATTTTTAATAATTGAAGATCAAACTAAAACTCACTTGAGTTTATCAATTATCACCCTGACATACATCGTATGTAACAGTTAAGTTTATCAATTATCACCCTGACATACATTGAATGTAACAGTTAAGTTTATCAATCATCACCCTGACATACTTTGTATGTAACAGTTGAGTTTATCAATTATCGCCCTGACATACATCGTATGTAACAGTTAAGGTTATCAATTATCACCCTGACATTCATTGTATGTAACAGTTAAGGTTATCAATTATCACCCTGACATACATTGTATGTAACAGTTAAGTTTATCAATTATCACCCCGACATACATTGTATTTAACAGGCAACAAATCTTACGTGGAAAGCTGGTAGTAGAAACACAGACCTAACAACATTTAAAGGGATACTGTAATTCCCGTTCAGCGTCATCTGGGCACAGATACACAACGAAGACATAAATATAAATATACTAACATTTAAAGAAATTATTCTGGTTCTGGATTCACTTACTTAAAATTTTCTTAGCTGAATGATAATTTTACAGCTGTCTAGCAACATTTAAAAAAGTATTTAGTTGATTATTATACAATTAACTTACGATTTCAAACATGTTTAAAAACGCCAACGAAGTGTGTTTTTTTTGTTTCTTAACAATTATATATTTATTGTTATGACGAAAATTCTGACCATTTTTGTATTTCATCATTATATTTAATAATAAAGAATAATTACAAATGATCTTTTCTATAAAGATATATCTGTTAATTTATTTCTCATTTTAACGTTCACTGTATACTGTATATACATTGTATAACACGTGTGATTTTCTTGTGAAAGGTTCAAGCAATGGCTTTACGCATACAGAGAAAACCTGGAACCGTTGGAAAATCCAGCGGTGACGCGAAGGGTAAACGACAAGGTACTCCGAAGGTAGCTGATCCTCCTCCGGAACAAGAGCATGCGTATCAAGATTTCTCACCTGGAATGGAAGTTGATCGTGTGTCATTCATGGACTCGAAGGAATCAAAAACTATATCAAGTGACAAAGGGAGGTGGGGAAATCCGACAGGGAAGGAAGGACAGACCGTAGCTTCAGCATCAACCACTTTTACTTCAAATTCAAAGCAGGTTTGTATAAGAACACGCCTTTTAAAAATTAGTGTTTTACATTGAGCTAAATAAGTTTTCCTTGCAAATTTCTTGCAATCTGATTGGCTAAGGCGTAGTTTGATAACCTCGATGTGTAATATTGAACTCAAGTGTTGATATAACATATGGAAATATGACGTACCACTAAAAAGCACGAATGGGGATTTTATTTTTGATTTCCCTTGGATTTATTTTTTCAAAAATAATTCAAGTGGAAAATTATTTTTATTATAATCCCAACAGTTTTTACTCACAATATCTAATATGTCAATTTACAAATTATTTTGTGTAGGTGCAATAGGGGTTTTCATGTTTCTTAGGTAAAGGTAAAGCTTACTGTTACTAAAATAGAGACTATCTCAGAGGTACGGGCCTCATTGCAGAATTAAGTAAACGATATTTTTATGAATTTAGGCATGTTGATGCACTCTTATACACAAGTTTGCTTTAGGAGTTCAAAAATATCTCAAGTTCAAGGTCAATGTCACTATTGTTAAGCACCTGGGGTACCCATGTCGACCTGTCAGTATTCTAGTTACATGTACTTGGGTAGTCGTTTCGAAATTTAAATAATACTTTAGAGTGTTTCTTTTCTTCAATACTTCTTAAGGTTTACAAGGGACCTCCCGCTGCACGCGTCTTCAACATACGGAAAAAGGAATTAAATAAAAGAGGCATAAAAGACCTGGAAGAGTGGGTGAAAGATCCAAATAATATTTACATTGGTCGTGACATGACCTTTTACGTCGGTGGAGCAGTAGGAAGCAAATGGGGAAACCCGTTCAAGAAGCTTGAAAGGGATGAGGCGGTAATACGCTTTGAGGAGCACATCAGGGCATCACCCTCGCTTATGGCCGAGCTTGACGAACTAAAAGGGAAGAATTTAGGCTGTTGGTGTCATCCTCTGAGTTGTCATGGACACGTGCTGGTAAGACTACTGGAGGAAAAACTTGCGAAGGAACAATTGACATAAGTTGTAGTATACTTCGACAATGTGATTAAAGTGATACTTCGATAGACCAGCCACGTTTGTCTGGAGAAGGATTGTCTGGTATAAGAAACAGCTGGATTACTGGGACCATGATTTATACTAGAAAGTATCAAATATGAAAAAACTGGCTGGATTTTGGTAATACCTGATTGATGATGTCTTGTTTAACATGGATACACTTTATGTGTTAACATTTTTTTTCAGTCAAAAATCACAGAATTTTGCTGAACGAGATATAGTGATTAATAGATTTTGTTTTGTACAATTTTGTAAGCAGGTGTGATACATATTATTCAATATCCTCATTAGAGACCATTGAAGTTACTATGCGTTTTTGTGTTCAATATTTCAATATATCAAATTCTTGTTACTATTGTTGTCATTGTCAAATGTAGGGTTTATCTTCGTTTTTAAAAAAGCGAATATCTATGGAAATTGCAAAATAGCAATGTTCACACTGTGGGTCATCACATTGGTATTTTATATGCATACAATAATAAGTGCTTTAATTAATTTTCACCAATTTCGCTCTGCTGCAGTGTTTACGGGTTATCTTTGTCAGCTTAATGTTAAATTACGTTATTTGATCATCCTTATTCCTCTTTTTGTCTTCACTTTTCTTACTCTCCTCAAGTAGATATGTTTAAAATTTCCTATAACCTAATCACCATAGATAATACACATTAAGATTTCTCTACACCCACAGCAATATATTGATACTATAAATGAATGCTTTTTGCCGCAAGGCTACCTATAACTTCACTCATCGTAGCGTGTTGTGTTGTACACAGTTCTGTCTTGGTCTTGTTAGTATGATAATTTTTGTCAAAATGTATTTTTTTTATCTAACCTATAATTTTTAGTTTTGAATAATGATCTTCAGCATATACTAAATAGCTACGTTATTAATAAATCAATTATCACAAGTGTAGTATCCCTTTATATACTTTGTGTAAATGTATACATATCATATAAACCACATGGGATTAATAAAATGAAATAGGTCATTTTTACCTATATTGAACGAATTTCACATAACAGACTAAAGCTAGGTTGTTCATCAATGTATAACATACTGAGTTATATTGTGTGTCTATTTCTATTGTTGTATGTTAGGGTTATTGATTACATAAACAAATGTTGCTGGGTAATTGACACCTTAAGTTATTTATTGGAACTGATTAGCTTCAGCCTTAAACCAGATATGACTTTCCAGATATAGGCATCCCTGTGTCCTGTCCCTACTGTGCTACTGTTATAGCCAAACGGAATTTAAGGAAGGTTACTTTATATAGGAAAATGCAGTGTAGTGGGACAGGGATCCTTAATATTAGACATTTGTAATGGGATCTCTTATTCTTCGAATTCGACATCGTTCGTTTCCTTATTAACCTTCGATTTGTATTTCCCATCGTATGTTGACGCGGTTTTGTACTTTTTTATGATACCGTGGACTATAGAGTCTTTAAACAAATATATTTCAGGTCATGGCAGTTATGAATCAATGAAATAATGCTCTGATTTGTACGAGTGCAATTACTTATGATATATTGAGAGTGCCTGTGTCTGTATTCATGAATTTACCATGCATTGTAATAAAATTCCTGTTGCTGTTAAATCCCAACACATACATAATGAACACGTTTGTTTCCGGTTTTATTAACTTAAAGCTGAATAGATGAAATATCGATTCACAAATAAGCTAAATTTGTCGTTAAACTAAGAAGTAACATGTTTGGTCAATATCATCTTCACTGTGTATCGACAGTGTGGCTTTCGTCACTTCACACACAAGCCCATCACATCAATATTGAATCTAACACATTGTTATATATCTTGAGAATCCATATCAGCCAATCAAATCGAAGCAAACAGTAAAGTAACACACCTTATGCAATCCCAAATTGCATTGGCCCGTTGTTAGTAGGCGTGGATCACTCCAGACATATATACATATGTGTGGTATGTAGTTGACACCGATGCTTAGAGATGAGCGTTAGAATGAACTAGCCGGTACCAATGATGTACAGTAGGATTTTGCTTTTGGTTTTGGGATGGTATTGCTGCACTCATGCATATATTGTTCCAAGCGGAAAAGAACCTGGTACGTATATATACGTATTTTATATATCTATTGTATTTCAATTTCTTTTACACCAATCTATGCAATAATATGCTTTATTCGATATGATGATGCTTTTAATTCCTAGTACACTTACTTTATGAAAATCTCTAACAAAGGTCTATTCCATTCGTAACACTGTGGATTCATTGCCAGTTACCTATTGGTGACTGTGCCGTCATTTATATTATGACGTAGTTAGCGATCATCAGCCAGTATCAGTCAGGGGTTTATACATTTGATAGAATAAGCAGACATGATGACTGTTTTTGGAATCAATTACTGATGGTTAAATGTTTTTATTTCTATACAAGTGTAATTCCAAAAAATATACAGACTGAAAGAGTATATTTTCTATAATCATGTTGTTATGAAAAGTACATTTTAGTTACTATACTTTAGCCTATTTGGATTTCCAACCTTTTTGCCCCCAGTTATACCGAAAGGTCGTAAAAGGACCCCCTTGGTGGCACGGTAGTCTAGTGGTAGGACGCCGGGCTCGTGACCGAAGGGTTCCGGGTTCCAGTCACGGCACGGCATTGTGATGCATCTTTGAACAAGATACTTTACTCCACTTGTTCAAGTCAACTAAGTTGTAAATGAGTACGTGGTTGGCAGTGCTGGAATTGTAGAATGCTTGCTGTGAGCGCCGAAATGGCAGCACCGGCTGTATGCTCCCCAGGGAGTAAAGAACGATATTGGCTGGTTGTGAACCACTTTGATACGACCTACTAACTAGGTTGTGATAAAGCGGTATATAAGAACCTCAAATTATTATTATTATTTGTATTATTATTAAGGACAAGACAGCTGTATGATGTAGTTTAATTCATTATTTTTCTTACAGGATCTATCACCAAACTTAAAAGGTGCATTACTTGTGTGTTTGGTACGTTCATCTTTCAAGCGATTTAGGGATTTATCAAAGTTATTTCCACTTCCAGGGGAATATTCACACTAACAATCATGTCAGTTGGAACTTCGATTCAGCTTTTAAAAATCACATTCCTATCATGGCTGACGTTTAGTTTCGAAAGGAACTACAGTAAAATCCCGTTTACTCGAACTCGTAGGGTCCAGAGCAATAGTTCGAGGAATACATGGTATTCGACGAATCCGAGGTTTGACCGACATCGTCATTTTTTTAACAGGTGGGACAACAGACAGTACGATCACTGCAACTATCGCGAATAGTAGATGATAGTAGAAAAAAGAAGTTTAATCAAGATGACGGCATTTTATGAGATTTAAAATAGCCTAACAAAAAACCCATATAGCCACCGGTATTAAGAAAGTAAATAAAATTAAAAAGCTGCATTGTGTAACGAACTTGTCGTTTTGACATAGCCCGCCATACTGTTATCGGCTACGTTAAGTTTACAAAATATCAAAACGAGATTAAAATGAAGAAAATGTTGAATCCTTGTAATCACATTGTTGATTGATAACGAAATTAACAATCACGACGTAATCAAGTTTGAATACCTTTAGAGTTGGTCGGATTCCGCTATGTGAATTCCGCTTATATTGCCATGCCGAAATATGGTTTTACACACCAAGTGAATTAACACTTCCGTCAAATCATCGATGTCAAAACATTGTCTGGAAAAAATAAATATGCACGCAAAATGATCATGCAGCTACAACAGGGTAACGGTACAGTTACTTAATGATACTGCCGTTAATCCTTTAACTATCTGACGTCCAGCCGACACCTGTTTAAGCACAATGAGCGTGTACCACAGACTGTGCCTCAAGACATGTCGACAGAAGTGCCGGTACCTGTGACACACAGAAAAAATATCTGTCATGCGTGACAGGTGATCACACCTGTTCGACGAATAGATAAAATGTTTGTTCGAGGAATACGGGGTATTCGAGGAATAACTGTTCGACTGATCCGGGGTTACTTTACAAAGAATATGTACGAACTCGGTCGGGACCAAACTAACTGTTCGACGAATGAGGGGTATTCGAATAAACTGTGTTTGACGAAGTGGGTTTTTACTGTATTTAATGCCCAATAAATATCCTTAAATATTCAGTATAAATAAAGTTGATAACTTTCTCGTATCCTATTGTATAGAACTTTATGAAATATAATCTGAGGTCGAATAGTAGGCTGGGGTTTCAAGTCGTCGTAGTGGTAAAGGTCGTATAAAGACGGGGTCCACTTTTGTTGAGTCACTCGTCCCAAACGTGTTATAGTTCATCTCGCCATCTCACTGAAATACCATTTACTGGATACCATCACACTTCATTCGGCCAGAATATTCTGACACCAGACTAACAAGTCATACATTGGGAGATCCCGCCGAAAGGATAGACAACATAAGGGAGAGAAAAAAGAGTGAAAAGTATAGATCCTTTATGTTTTAATGGTGACAGAAAATCAATTTTGATGTTTCCGTGTCCCCCAAACGAGATAAGTTCAGAAACCTCCGATTCTATAGGGGGTCGCGTATTAACATCATATCAAGCAAATTATTACGAGTATTTAATGTGGCTCCAAATAATACCGATATGTATATTATAATGACAATCATGTTTTGTTTTACAAGAGTTCGTATTCGATGGACAAACACATTTATAACAGACAAAACTTTGCTAAACTGTTTGGTGAAGGTGAAACATATCAAGTTATGAGGTATGGACAAAGATGTGTGTAACGACAACACCGAGGAGAAACCAGAAACACCATACACAGACAGTATGAAAGCTTATGGAGAAGTAAATATCCACCCGGTAGCCATACAAAGCAGATAAACATATCAGAATTAAAGTGTATTATATCGTGGCTAGTTAAGGTCGATTGTCCTTGTTTGTTTCAGTTTGTTTATCAGTGAACTGTCAGAATGGCGGGAGTTTGGTGTATGAGACATGCCAGTGTGTTTGTGCTGAGGCGTACACAGGCCTACTTTGTGAAACAGGTTAGTGTGCTTTTACTGTTTAATTTTCTTTTTAATTAATCCTTTACGTTTGTCAATTTTATTTTAATTTTGAACATTTTCTACATTTTACGAGAAATATTCCTAATTGATATGAAGATATTTTCTTTTTAACTATTTATATGCTATGTTCGGTATATGATTTAACTACATTTGCAGTTAACCAATTAAGCCTGAACTCTAACACCTAGTACATGTCTGGGCTTTATGCATAGATATACCAATTTAAAAAAAAAAAAGTTCCCTTATTCATATATCTAGTGATAATTATGTAGATATTGAATAATAACGACTGTGTTAGCTAAGGTGTATTTGGGAATTTAATACATGGTTCTGAGAAAATATTATTATTTTATCGAGTCGATTTAAATCCAAGATGGCCGAAAACCGCCATTTTCAAGCATATTTTGAATTTGACCTCGCGGGACTGGTTGTAAGGAAAATACTAGTAATTAGTAATTAGGGATTATCGTTTATTGCTAATGCTCCAGGCATAATGTTCTTAATTTCCGGGTGAATTTGAAATATAATATTGCTCCACCCGTGGCCATTTTAAAAAGTCATGCAGTTCATCGAGAAAACTTAAGGCACTTAAGTTAAAGGTGAATAGTAGCAATATTATTGAATCTTTGCATATGTTTATCTGACCTGACTAATTTTTTCCTGTCTTGGGTCAATTTTTGAAATCAAATAAGGCCGCCAAATAGGATATTTTAAATCCTTATTTCCTATTGAAACGAGCTTGTTCGGGAAAATCAATACCTGGTTGAAAATTAAAATGCCATCATTCAGATGCAAACTTTACTTACTCTGGTTTGTATCCTATATTCATCTTAAGCCATTGGTCAATCGGAGTGGCCAAAAGGAGAGTATGGTCTTCCTATGTCCGCCTTTGGCTGTCCTGAGGAAGATAGGTTTGGCTGGAGTGGCGGATACGTCAATCTAACATTACAAGAATCGTCCCGAAGGCAGCTTTGGAATGATCTTGATGACGTCACCTTTGAACCACACATAATGGGACCATTCCACACACATGCTATGCAACTAAACTTCTGTTTAAAGCAAAACGTTTCTCGTGAGAATGACATAGAAGATAGTTGGCCACCAGGAGAATATTGTCTCTACAAAGTAGGCGATAGATGTCCAACCGAAGGTATGTGCGTTGTTCATTTCGAAATGAATGCTAATATATATTATAACATACATTTGTGTATAAGGTTATTGATTTGTAAACGCTTCAAATGACTTTCTACTTAGTTAATATTTATCATCAAAATTACGTTGATTTTAACATCAATGTCAGGTATTGTTTAAATCATTTGTCTACACATTGCTTATCCCTGTGCTACTACTTCATTGGTATGTAATTTAAAGTCAAATTGGCAAATTATGTTCTCGGTCTATAATTTAACGCAATCAATACGCAGATCATATTCTAGATACACCGACATAGGTAACCGTATACCAAAGCGTTAACACGTAAACTGATACAAAAAGACAACTATAATCGTGAGAAAAAAACGTGTTCTCTAAAATAGTAAGAGCGACTTGCACCATGTGCGAGGATT